TTTATTTAATTGCTAAATATAATTTATTATAAAATATAACTTCCTTGATTAAGATACAATTTTATAATTCATTCATGCTAAATGTATCCAACAGAAACAAAATAATTCCATTTTCTTTTTATAGTTTATATAAAGTTCTAATTGAGCTTTACTTACCCAATTAAAAAATGTTTAAAACTAGTCTTACAATTTAAATTAATTTTTAATATTTAAACAGTTGCTCTAAAATATTAAATTTTTATTTGTAAAACTTAATTGTAAGTTTTATTCATTGAAAAATTTTAGGCAGTAAAACGGTTCATTAGTAAATCCATACTTAACATTAAAAAAAACATGATAAAATAAAAATGAAAGTATTGTCACATAACAACAAACAATCATATACTATTAATATATTCTTAGATAAATATAAAAAAATATTTAAATAATTATTCCATAAAAGAATGTATTTTACTTAACATTTTAAAGATTTATGCAAATATTAAGTAATGATTAAATTCAACACACTTTAAAATAAACCTTAGGGTTAATATTACATCTTCTACATACAGACATGTTGTTACTAGTATACTTGTTTCATAAACATTATAAAAAAATTATTTTATTAGATATCTGTAATTTTTGAAGCTTACAAACTATAAATATTAATCTTGATTATCAAATCCAGTTAATAGGTTAAAGAATTCCACAACTACTTTTTTCAATAAATCAAACTTGATGGCCAACAAGATGTTTTGTCATTCAAATAGTTTTATTTTTTTTTTTTAAGAAATTACATTACCCAATATTTGCAAACATTATATTGACTATATTATATAAAATATGCTAAAAAAAAAAATCTATAGTGTATTTATTATTGTGTTGTAAATAAATTTTATTTTGTTATCTTGCCCAAAACGCTTTTCATAGATAATAAACGATGATTAATCTTAATTAATACAATTAAATATTATCCATAAATATACGAAATATAATAATATATATGAACCAATACAAATATGAATGAGATTTACAATTCCAATTAAGTGGTTTCTAAATATGTAAATTAATGAACGTGATAAATAATACATTATATTATTAATCATGTTTATAAATAATAATTTAAATGCTAAGTGAATTTATTTATTATTTAAACACAAATTTAATTTAATAGTTTGTTATAAAATGCGTAATATTTTTTTACAAACAAATCATTCAAATTAAATAAAAACAAAATTAGTGTTTTATTTGAAATTCCAAAACTATCTGACATACTTAATAGCATTTAATAGAATTTTGATAAAATTTCACTCTCACGATACGATAGTGCAGTGATCCAGTCGTGAATCCGATCGGATATGGTATAATGGTTAGCGTGAGAAATTACAATACATTTGTAGGCGGTACTACATTAGAGCTCAAGGTAGACTTGTTGCATTTTTTCATACTTGAAGCATATTTTTCATCAATTTCCTTAGAAAAACGAGTAGACGCAGGTAATTTACTTTCACCCTTTTGCGCATAAGACAACGACGTTGTATTGAAATACACAGATAATGATTGAATTTCACTATTTCAAAGCTGAATAAAAATTTAAAATATCGATTTTTTTTATTTATTGTACACTCATTGTGGTATTCAATGCAAAGAAAAGTAAAAATGGTCAAACCAAACAATGCTAAATCCTCATGAGCACACCTACTACCGTTCGGTCGTAATCGATTTTTTAACAATCTTCTCAGTGGGTAATGGAAAAATAGTGATTGTACTTCTTTAAAATAGTTTTGAATACGCCACAGGTATTGGTTACTACAACCGTAACTTAAAAAGTTACGCTCTGCTTATGATTGGTTATTATAACACAAAAACTGTTTTAATGTACTGTAATATTGTAATCCAATAATGAAATAATAGCTCATTAAAACTAATATGCTACTTTTTTAATTTGTTTAGTATAAACGATGATTTTACGATCTGGCGAATTGGAAAATATACTTTATAAATATTTTAACACTCGTAGTAAACGGATGTGTTTTACATACAATGAACACTATATTATTGTTATAAATTCAATGAGAATTCCATTCCTAAACATGTTGATATAACAAATTACCTAAATAATAAAAATAGTATTTATCTAGATTATCATCATAAAATTGAAAAAGATAAAGGTAAAGTAAAACGGGATAATATGGCGAGTTTCAGCTTCTACGATATTTTCTATATTCTGTAAATGAATTTAATATCTCAACTTTACCAAACTACTTCTGCATAATATGAGTTTTCCTGATAATTGTCATTTTTATCATCTTTCCTCAAAGATGTAGTATGATGACGTAAACGATTGTACAACTTTGTAACTAAAACTAATATAAAAAAAATGGGTGTTTTATGGGTTTATAGTTATTAAATAATACTTAAAGAATATTTAATAAAACACATTTTTTTAACATGCTAATACCTACAATTTTAAAGTTCAAAAATTACATTACAACAAGCTAAATATGAATTTTTAACCACAACTAAAATCAATGTAGACGCACGAGTGTCAGTACTATTGAGTGTCATTGTATACCACTACGTGCATTCATTAAGTTGAATATGAGGTAAAACTTTTATCTTTAAAGACAACATGGAATAAATTTAAATAAGTTTGAAAAAGAAGAATTTCCAGTAATAACTAAAAGATTGGTAAATTAATTACTCTGTAAGCAGTAAACTTTTTTTGGTACGAAAACTAGTGACCCACAGATGTGACAACAAAAACTAGTTTCATCAGTTATGTAACTGATATCGTACAGATGTAATGCTAAAATCTCAAAAACACATTTAAAAATTAACAGGAATTCAAATCAAGTTCAAATTTATTGAATCGAAGTATAAATTACTCGTTATAGAGGAGATTGAGAAACAATAGTAAATGAATAATCATCACCTACCTAGTTTTCTAAAAATCTATTATATGTAAAAATCAGACGACCGCGTTAAATGATTAATTTTATTATCCAAACCATAATAATTTTATACAATATTAGTTAGTTTATTTTTGCCTCCAAAAAATTGTTTTAAAGTTTTATTACAAAAATTGTATTAATACTCGCGATTTAAAAATCCTTTTTAAGCTAAATTTATTTTATTATATTTCATTTTGGTTTTAATATAAGTAACATACAAGTTGTAATGATTACATATCTATTTTGTAAATTTTGTACCACTAATTAACAAAAAAAACTAGTCATGAATTTTTAAAACTTAAAATTTGTGTGATTATTTACCCTGTCGGAGGGATTGTGATAGTTTCCATTTATTTTTTAAACTTAAAAAAAAACATAATATCACTAAATTTAAATATTTTGTACCTTATATGGTAACACTCATTTATTAATATTTGAAGATTTTTTAATAACGGTTTACTAGATATTTAACTTCATACAAAGATGGATACAATTCCTCCATTTTCCCCTACATTCTTAAGAAATTACAAAATATATATCTTTTAAATCACACATATGAGGAAATTGGAGAAGAGGTGCTTAGTTACCCCAAAAGATGCCAACAATTTTTAAGTAAATTATATGTATATTTTATACAAAAAAAATTTAAGACAGGGAAAGAATAAATTTAATACCCACCCCCAAATTTTTTCATAAATTTCCGCCAACGAAATCATAAAAAAAGGTTAAAGCACATCTTAGATTATCATCGAAATGATAAATAATCAAACAGTTAAATATTTTGGATTGTGTCAGCTATAATCAGTTTCTATATGTGTAAAATAAATAATAATTGTTCGTTGAGTTTTAAGTAGGCTAATGAGTATACACCATAACGAACGCTATGGTAAATTAAGTTTAAACTAACCAACGTTAGCGTACNCATAACGAACGCTATGGTAAATTAAGTTTAAACTAACCAACGTTAGCGTACACAGAGTTAAAAAATAGATACACAAATTATAATACTATATCCGTTTTCCACGCGTAACACTGTACATTTTAAAAATTTAGTTCAAAAAATATTAATACTATTTTTGATATGTAAGATGACAATATGAATGTATTTTATTATAAGGTAAATACAAAATAAGTGTATATACTGACAATAGTTATCCAATAAAAAACTAATTAAATTATCAAAACGTATTATTATTTACTCGTTAAATAATCATAGCTCAAGATAAATTGATGCACACTATTAACAACAAACACTATTATAATTGTAGTCTTGAATTATTCAACATGCTTTTTGAATCTCAATTAATAAACACCTAATTGTTTACTTAAAGATGACAATAGAATACCACTATCATTACGTATTTCAATACTTAGTGGTCAATTAATAGTTTAGTTCATATATCGAGGCACCACAATATTATTTATCTCCCACTAAAATATGATTTCCACTTTAATTTTGTCCTACACGACAACTTTTGAGTCGATCCATAAAAAATTTAACTGAATTTCAAGATTTTCCAAAAGTAAAGACGACTATATGTATTCTAAAAATTAAAAACGAGTACTTTTTGTAATGCTCATTCTTCTAAATGATAACTTGTTTGATTACAAAAGTGGCAATATTCATCAGAGCCAGCGGGAGGACAAAGCCGCCACCAATGCGCTAGCCTAAGGCCCTGTACTTTAAAAAGCCTACTACGTATAAATGAAAAGCAAAAAAGGTCTCTTTTTACTAAAAATATATAAAAAGGAAAACGTTTTTACATTGGATTCCGCAATATTTAGCGCCGGCACTGGTATTCATTTTATATGACATAAGTAAAACAAAGTACTGTTTACGTTAAGTATCTAATACATTAGTATTTACGAACAAAATTCGTACGCGTTTGTAATAAAAAACTAATTAATTTTCATTCTATCATAAGTTGTGTAACTCATGTAACAATTATTTTTTAACGTAGTACCTGTTATTGCTATCACGAATATCTTTGTTACTTTTTGTAATTTCTAGGAATTAAAAAATAATTTTCAATTTATAGCTTTAAAAACATAATTATTAGCACGTACCTTTGGATCTCTTTCGCCGGACTGTACGAAATAAAACACCACAAACATCCACGACGTCAGGAAAATCAATATTAGCTTTACGTTTCTTTTCATTTCGTTCGGACGCTTATCACCTAAGTTATCTGATTAGAGGGGTTCGTTTGAACAACAAAAATAAAATTTTCCAACAATCAACACGACTATAACCGTACCTAACAACACCATTAGCAAATAGCGGTAGTCGATTGAAGCCCTTACCACTTAAAAGAACACATGCACACAAACACGCGTTAAATCTGTACGTTTTTTTGATTTAATGAAAAATTGAAGGGTACGTCGAGAACTATGTGTTTTCGAAGTGAAATGAAATATGTTATCAATGGTTTTCCAATGTAAAATCTTCGAGAAACAGTAAAACTGATAAGAATATTTTGCAATTTACGTTAAAGCTATTCCGCCCTGAAGTGAACGTTCCGAGTGTGCGCGCGAGCACGCCAAAATCTTAAACGAACCACGGCGACGGCGAACGTGCTACTGCGACGGGTGCCGAGTGCAGACTAGTGAATTGTCCGTCTACTGTTTGTTCCCTGCGACGCTACCCGTTTTCGTGGCATCAAAGGATATTATAGTGCAGCCAATGCCTGTGTAGACTACGTGGAGAGAAACACGGGTCTGGCGTGCAGCCTAAAACAGATCGGCCAGATGACTCAAATTTAACACTGCTCTGTTTATAATATAATGCAGTTTTGTGACAAACTTACCTGAGTTTAATATTTTTGTAAATTTTAATGAATAACTCAACGCAAGCAATTTTACTTGGTTAAATCATTTTTACAATTCTAAACCTCAAATATTATTATCACTTTCAAAAGGCTTATTCTTTCTTCTTAAATAATAAAAATGTTACCATCATTTTTATAAATGACTTAACATACAATTTTTCAAACCTAATTATTGATCAGTCGGATTCTTAACGTGAAATAGTGAAAAATATATATATATTTTTTATTGTAACAATTTTCAATTCAACAAAGTTATAACTATTTTTTATCAACTAAAATAGCTCATACAACAACTAGTGTATGTTAATAATATTAATTTAGAAATCGAATTATTCTAAAAAATTCAGCGATATTAAATCGTATTACAGAAAAAAATTTGTATTAAAAAATTGTAATATTAAAAACTAACCACTTTAATTTTCTTAAAACAATAGTTATACTAAGAAAATTATTTTTCAGTTTTATATGGATTTAATTTATCAGTTATTAATTACTTTTTGATTAATTCCTTATACCTTTTAAGGAAGTCAACTTTATTTTTTTAACGGCAATATACGTATTTTACTAACTCATAAAAAAAAATAATCTAAATAAGAAAATAACGTACGATATCGACTAGTGAAACAGTATTTTAGGAGTTATAAATATTTGTATATCTCTATGGAAGATGGAACGTTGCAGTGATTCATAGTGATAAAAATAACATAACCTGCATTTCGACTCTTTTCTACATTTTAAAATTCCATCCCTTTTTTGCAAATTTATTTTAGATATGAATATTGCTGTCAATGAGGAGCCCAGGCCTTTTTGTATTTCCCCTGGCTACGCCACTTAATTGAACATAGATTAAGTTAAAAATGAATTAAGAATATTAAATATTATTAAATAACTTTTGAGGGATGTATGAAAATAAAAAAAGGAAAAATACAGAATAATAAAGTACGAAAGCTCATTATCGATAACTTATTTATAGGAAATTTAGTACATCTGTGTAGGACCCACTCGAAAATTATTTTCTTAGTTAATAATTTTCTTATTTTTAAACTAATTTGAGATCAATATTGTTATTACATATTTGTATCGTAACAGTTCAGTTGTATCTGTCGTATAGAACACACGTATGTGGGTAGTGATTACTCGTAGTGTTAAATCGAATCTTAAATCTTAGTCTTTGTTAATAATTTTTTTATATTGTATAGTAAATGATTAACATGTCCAGTAAACCGGGAACACCGTTAAAAAAATCAACATCGTCTAGTTCACTTCAAAAAGAGCTTTGTTTAGATGATATAATGAAAATGCTAAAATCAATGCAAACGTCCCAAGACACTAAATTCAAAACAATTCAAGAGAAATTTATAAGCTATGAAAATAAGCTAAGTATCTTGAATAATTCATTTGAAAGCATGATAACATCTTTTAATAACCTTGTATCTGAGAATAAAATACTCAACGATGAATTGAACAACTTACGTGACCGTGTATCATTATTAGAATCGTCAAAAACCACGACCAATATTGATATGTCCTCATCTGAAGTAATTAGGGAGGCTCAGTTGAGAATATCAAAAAGTAAAAATGTTGTGGTCTTTAATATGGAAGAAGCACCAAACGAGACTAATGATAGTTCAAAAATGTTAGCAAATGATTTAATATCTCATTTAAACCTAGATTTAAGCATAACATTAGCCAAACGTCTTGGCAATGCACAGTCTAAAAAACGGCCACTTCTTATTCAATTTGGGAATGAATCGGAAGCTTTTACAATGTTAAAAAACAAAATAAAACTTCAAAACACAAGTAAATGGAAAAATATATGGATTAATGCCGACCTAACTTTACTTCAACGTTCACAAATGAAAAGTTTGAGGGAAGAGTTATTCCAGCGACGTCTTAAAGGTGAATCTAATATCGTTATTAGATATGTGAAAGGTATTCCTTCGATCCAGCCAAAAAACTAAATTACTCCCCAACGGTTCAAAATATTAACCACACTTCTTCGTATTCTAAACAAAATTATAATTTAAATTTAAATCATCCACATAAAAAAANTTTAATTCATTCACGGATAAGTTGAGTTATACTCTCTGGGAATAGATTTAAAATTTTCATTATCAAACAAAATCATTCCTATTATGTTTTCATTAGCTTTTCTTTCATACTACGCGTGCGATGAAGAACAAAAAAAGTCTTTTAATCAATTATATGTTCCCAATTTCGATGTAAAAGTGTGCTGTAAAAATGTTATGAACCATATTAAAGTCAAGTCATTGATTTTGGACGTGTCTCTTTGTCAAGAAGCTTCATTAAATGGCCATTTAAATTGTTTGAAGTATTTCCATGAAAATGGTGCCAGTTGGGATGAATATACGACCATAAATGCTGCTAAAAAAGGATATCTAAGATGTTTGAAATATGCATTTGAAAATGAATGCCCTTGGAATGACTGGGTTACATATTGGACATTATCTGAAAAACACTTTGAATGTTTCAAATATGCTGTAGATAATAAATGTCCTATAGATTTATCTACTTGTTATAAAGCTGCTAAATTTGGTTATCTTAATTTTTTAAAATATGCACATGAACATGGGTGCAAATGGGATGAAAGAACTACAGAAAGTGCTGCTCATAATGGTAATTTAGACTGTCTCAAATTCGCTCATGAAAATAATTGTCCCTGGGATATTAATACAACACATTCAGCTGCTATGAATGGAAAACTAGAGTGCCTTAAATATGCTCATTTTAATAAATGCCCCTGGGATGCTGACACATCATGGTATGCTAGTATGAATGGTCATCTGGATTGCTTAAAGTTTGTTCATGAACAGGGTTGTCCATGGGATGAAAATGTTTTAATAATAGCTGCTGAAAATGGTCATTTAAGTTGTTTAAAGTATGCACATGAAAATAGTTGTCCTTGGGATATACTAGTTACTGAAAAAGCTACAGCAAATGGTCATTTACATTGTTTAAAGTATGCTCATGAAAACGGATGTCCCTGGGATGACACTATCACTGCTACAGCAGCCGAATTTGGTCAATTAGAATGTTTTAAATATGTTTATGAAAATGGCTGTCAAATTAATAATTCAGCTGCAGAAANTGCTACAGCAGCCGAATTTGGTCAATTAGAATGTTTTAAATATGTTTATGAAAATGGCTGTCAAATTAATAATTCAGCTGCTACTTTAGCTGCAGAAAATGGTCATCTAGATTGTTTGGTATACGCTCATAAAAATGGTTGTCCTTGGGATGATTTCACAACACGCATTTCTGCTGAAAATGGTCACTTAAATTGTTTAAAATATGCTTATGAAAATGGTTGCCCATGGAATGAAAGAGTAATTGAAAATGCACTTAAAAATGAATATTTCAATTGTGTAAAATATGCATATGAAAATGGATGTCCATATAATAAAGATCTATATAAAAATGATTGCTATACAAATTATTTAGAGAGTTTATAGGTTAGTTTTCAAAAGACCAAGAATTAACTTTTACTAAGTTTCTAGTATATATACATTTTTTTTCTCGTTATTTTATGTCTATGATTGTTGTTCAGTTATTATGTACAGTCTGTTATTTAAGTGTGTTAATTCCATTTGTTAATATTTATATTTGTTTATATGAATTATATATTTCTGATCCGATACTTTTTAATATAAAACAAAAATTGAACAAATTAATTTATTTTGTTAAAATAATTTATAATTATGTTATATTATAACATTAAAATAGATAGAAAAAAAAAATTAAATATTATTTATTATATAAGTTTCTAATTTTTTTATATTTCAATATATAAATGATTCAATTTTAGATTCAGAGCTTAGCTTTGATAACTATATAGTCTATCGTGTTGACCGGAGTGATAAAACCAGTTCATGTTTGAGAGGTGGTGGAGTAGCAATCTGTGTGAATAAATGTTTATTTTCAGAAATCATAAAGATCCCCACTGATAATGTTGAACAGTTGTTTGTAACTGTAAATAGTGGTGGTAATTTAAAATATATTATTGGTGCATGCTATATACCACCTGGGAGCTCAGTTAGTGTCTACTCAGCTCATGCTGATACTGTGCAGTCTATTTTATCTAGTGTTGTTAAAACCAATTTTACTTTTATTTTAATGGGAGATTACAATTTAGGTGATACAAAATTCTATAATGATGACCATGGCATGATTTACGATGGCGCTCGATCAGTTAAAGTAGATGTTATTTATGAGTGCTTTTCATCTTTAAACTTGTATCAGGTCAACACAATTCCTAATATATACAATTCATATCTGGATTTAATATTTTCTAATACAAATTTGATCACTGTCAATACCTCAACAGATATATTGGTGCCATTAGACCCATACCATCCGGCTTTGTTAGTTGAGTTACAACGTAGTAACAATTATCAGCATTCATGCCCCTTGAATTGGTATTATAATTTTAAACGTGGTAATTATTGTCAAATGTCTTATTATTTAAGTTCAATTGACTGGTCGATTTTATATAACTATGATGACATTAATAGTGCGCTTGATAAATTTTATGAGATACTCTTACATTCTATCGAGTTATTCGTTCCTAAAGTTTATCCAAAGAAGTTTCCTTTCCCAAGTTGGTTTTCAAAGGAACTTTGTCAATTAATACGTAAAAAAAATGCCCTTCACAAGATTTTCAAAATTAAAAAAGACCAATCAATATATAATGAGTTCTCAGCTATTAGATCTAAATGTAAAAACCTATCAAAAAAATGTTATTCAGATTATATTAACCGTATTCAAAATAATTTAATTGTTAACCCAAAATACTTTTGGAAATTTGTCAAAGATAAAAGAAATAATAACTTACTTCCAAACTCTATGTATTTTGGAAATATAAAGTCAGACAATATGATCAATGTGTCTGAAATGTTTAGTGAGTTCTTTGCTTCTAATTATTCTGTTTCGAAACAAACCGTCCGATCAACGTATCCAAATATTATTTTACCCTCCTCGTTTAGTATAGCCTCATGTGAGATCCCGGTTCTAAAATTGTTTGAAGAACTGCAACGAAATACGGGCACTACTTACGGTCCTGACCTTGTCCCTGGTATCATTTTTAGTTCTTGTCGTTATCCGCTTACTCGTCCAATCCATTTTTTGTTTTCCTTGTCATTGTCTTCGGGTGTTTTTCCAGTACGATGGAAATCAAGTTATATTACACCTATTTTTAAATCAGGTGACAAATCTGATGTGGGTAATTATAGACCTATTTCTAAATTAAGTGTGTTGCCGAAAATATTTGAGAAACTTCTAGAGCCCGAGTTATCATTAAGTTTTAAAAACGTGCTGAATAACTGCCAGCACGGCTTTCGTAGTTCTAAATCAACTATTACTAACCTGCTTGTGTTTTATACTAATATTGTTTCCACTGTTGCAAATGGTGGTCGAGTAGATGCAATTTATACTGATATGAAAAAAGCGTTTGATACATTAAATCACAAGGTATTAATTGATAAATTAAAACATATTGGCATTAAAGACCCACTACTTAAATGGTTAGCTTCATACCTCACAGGCAGACAGCAGCAAGTAAAGATAAATAATATTATCTCTTCCATTATCCATATCCCCTCTGGGGTTCCTCAAGGAGGGCATTTATCTCCATTACTTTTCTTAATTTTCATGAACGATCTTTCTGATGTCTTTCAACATTCAAGCTATTTGTGTTTTGCCGATGATGTAAAAATTTATTCTAACATTCGTACAATTCACGACAGTCATAATCTCCAAGCAGACTTGTGCAGATTTTATAATTGGTGTGTTGTTAATGGTTTATGCTTGAATGTGTCTAAATGTGCTCAGATCACTTTTTGTCGTAAGCGTTCATATGAACTATATGCATATAATATAAATAGTATTAATATCATAAATGTTCCTCATATCAAAGACTTAGGTGTAATTCTTTCTTCGGATTTATCTTTTACTGAACACATTTCATTTATTTATAATAAAGCACTACGGATGTTGGGCTTTCTTAAGCGAAATTGCTGGGAGTTTTCTAATCCTATTTGTTTAAAAGTTTTATATTGTTCTTTAGTGCGTTCTATAGTCGAATATGGGTCAATTATTTGGTCACCATATCAAGCTAATCTTACTAATAAACTGGAAAAATTGCAAAAACGTTTTCTACGTATGTTAGTAGTAAAAGTAGGAAAATACGATATTAATGAAGTTGATTTAAATGTAGTAGCTTCAGATATTGGTCTAACCAGTCTGAGTATGAGGCGGAAAATGTTTGACGTTAGTTGGATCCATAGTTTATTAAATAATAAAATTGACTGTCCAGAAATTCTTGATATTATTCCTTTTAATGTTCCTTCAGTCCATTTACGGTCTCAAACGATGTTTTATGTTTCTTCTGTCCAACAGAACTATAATCTTTTTGCTCCGGTCAATCGTATGTTATTAGAATGTAATGAAGTTTGTCATAAAGTGGACTTCTTTTTTAATTCTTTAGATATAATAAAGAGATCGATTATATAGTTAAGAATCTTTACTTATATTGTTTGTTTTTATAATTAATTGTATGCTATAAATTTATTGATGTCTAGTTTAAGTTTTATTAACTGTACTCTTGCCCTTTGGGGCGTTAATTTAGTAAATAAAATAAATAAAAAAAATAAATAAATAATACATATTTACACACTATAATATATTACATTACATATAACATACTTACACCACCCAATTAAACCTAAGTTGATAATATTTTTAAAAAAAGTAAAGAAGGGATAGGACTAATTTTGTTTTTTTTTTTTTTAATAATAGAACATAGGATAGTAATAACTTCTAAATAAAAAAAATTATAATATGGTATTATAATTTAAAGTTGTGACTTGGGGTATATTTAATCAATTACCTAGTATATACAATTATATATAATATGTAATTGGTTATATATATAAGCAACAGGAAGCGGTCGCCATGTTGCTTCTTGTTTAATTTGTATTTGTAACAAACATTATGTTGGTTTGTATGCAACATCTCTAAACTAAGTTTTTATGTCTGTTAAAATCTATATTTGTGTATGTATATTTATACATAAATATATTTACATACTTACAGTAAAGATTATAAAAATTACTTTTTTTTGAGATTACTTATAATTGAAGGTTTGTTATTTTTAGGGGCCTACTACATAAAATTATAGTGGGCACGCGGATTTGTAAATCAGGGCTCAATTGTTATCTACATATAAGTGCGCACTTGAGAAAATCCAAGTAATGTATACTTTGACATATCAAAAAAAAAAAAGTTATATAGTAATAATTTTTCAATTAGTTCTAAGCAAAATATATTATTGTGATTATACACAAAAATTCTAGTAGACCCAAAATTTAAACTAAATGTTTTCATGGATTTTTAAAATAATTACCGTATCTAAAGCGCACTAATTATTCTTTTAGAATAATATTTAAAAAGGCACGATCCACTTATTGTTCTTATAGCAATAATTAATTTATAATCTACAATCTTGAAGAAAATTAATTTTGAGTGCAACATGGATAATAAAACCTACTATGATAATATCGGCATTATCAATTTTGCATTTTTAATTGATTTACTTTAACACTAAATTTATATTGTATATAAATACATTCACTTGTACACGTTCGTTTATAACTTATTTTGGTTTTTCAGAAGCTATAAGCTAAAGAAATGTTATTAATAGTTACACTATTAAATAAAATTCTTATTTTATTTAATTATTATGTAAGCTTACATTAGCTTATTTTTTTGTATGAAATAAAAAAGTCTTCAATAATTAAGTTAAAAATATATAGTTAAGAAATGTAAGTCGGAGTTATTTTTGAAATGTTAAAAAATATTTGAAAGAATCAATTTTTTTAAGCTATTACTTTTAATTACAAAATATTATTATCTTGACCAAATAATTTATAATAACTATTATTTGTCTTTGATCTCGACCACAAACCAAGGTAAAATGGACTGGACCCGAGGACCTTCCTCGGGAACGAGGGTATATTTCAGTTTTTTTATAGAAATACCGTAGAAGGGGTAAAATTGGCCAACAGTAAGTTCTATAGATGAATATATTTTCAGAATATAAAATTTTAAAAATGGAGCGGACGAAAGGTGAAAATAATGTAAAATAGTAAATAGCGCTATTACTTTAAAATTCCACTTCTTTGTGAAATGTATAACAAAACCGGACCGTCCGATGAGGACTTGTGTCCTGTTTATTTTTTCTTAGTTCGTTATCTTGATAAAGATTTTTTATTGATACTATTTAAATAGATAAGAATAATTTTATCAATTTTGTATTAAAAGATAAAATAAATGAATACAATTACGTGCTTACTATATGAACTCATATGTTAAACTACATATTTGATTGAAAATTTTGTTATGTTTTCATTAACTTTTCTTTCCTACTGCGCTTGTATCAAAAATGAAAAAGATACTTATAGTCAACTAAATATACCAAAATTCGAAGTAAAACTGTGCTGTATTAGTTTATTGAACTATACGAGAAATAAAGTATTGAATAAATCAACTTGTCTCATTGCATCTCTGAATGGTCATATAAACTGTTTGAGGTATGCTCATGAATTAGGGTGTCATTGGAACGAAACTATCTCAAGTGTTACTGCCTTAAATGGTTATTTAAATTGTTTAATATATGCCCATGAAAATAATTGTCTATGGGACGTGCTTACTACATGTAGTGCTGCAGAGGGTGGTTATTGAGATTGTCTAAAGTATGCCCATTTTAATGAATGACATATCTTGCAAGTATGAATGGCCCCCTTAATTGTTTAGAGTTTTCTTACATAAAAGGTTGTACATGAGATGACACCATTGCTATGATAACTACTGGAAATGGTCATTTAAATTGTTTAAAATTTGCACATGAAAATTGATGTCCTTGGAATGGACTAGTAACTGAAGGAGTTTCTGATAATGATCATTTAAATTGTTTAATATATGCACACCAAAATGGAATTCCGTGGCATGATTTCATCTCTACATCAACTGCTGGCAATGTTCACTTGAAATTTTTAAAGTATGCATATGAGAATGGCTGTAGAATTGACAACTCAATTGCTTTTATAGCTCATGAAAATAATTGTCCCTGGGATATTAATACAACACATTCAGCTGCTATGAATGGAAAACTAGAGTGCCTTAAATATGCTCATTTTAATAAATGCCCCTGGGATGCTGACACATCATGGTATGCTAGTATGAATGGTCATCTGGATTGCTTAAAGTTTGTTCATGAACAGGGTTGTCCATGGGATGAAAATGTTTTAATAATAGCTGCTGAAAATGGTCATTTAAGTTGTTTAAAGTATGCACATGAAAATAGTTGTCCTTGGGATATACTAGTTACTGAAAAAGCTACAGCAAATGGTCATTTACATTGTTTAAAGTATGCTCATGAAAACGGATGTCCCTGGGATGACACTATCACTGCTACAGCAGCCGAATTTGGTCAATTAGAATGTTTTAAATATGTTTATGAAAATGGCTGTCAAATTAATAATTCAGCTGCAGAAAATGGTTTTTTGCATTGTTTAATTTATGCTCATGAAAATGGTTCTCCATGGGATAAAAATTTAATTATTAATGCTCTCCAAAGTGGATGTTTTAATTGTGTGAAGTATGCTTATGAAAATGGATGTCCCTGTAATATAGATCTTATAACAACAAATTTTATAAAAATCATTTAGAAAGTAATTAACTGTCATTTTGTAAAATATATTACCAAAATTTAGTTACCTCCTTTTTTAATATTTCATATTTATTTTTGTTACATTATACTTTTATGAATATTTATTAAATTTTCCTATTCATTCTTATATAGCATTTGTATTTTTAATAAATATTTTAGATAAAACGCTATAAATTATATTTTGCATGCACAATCTTATTCCATAACATAAAAACTGAATCTTTTACCATCCATTTTTTTTTTAAATTTTTATAGTGTTTTCAACAAATAAATATATAGAAACAAATGTTTAAGACCAGATTTTATTAGCAAACTATGTAATCTTAATTTACTATTATAAATTAAGAGTGGTAATAAAAATTTTAAGCAGTTAAGATAATTATTTTATCTTAATAAATTTTCAATTAAAATACCAATTATTCATGACGATTTCATACACGATTTAATCACTACTAGTTTATTTATCGGAAAAAGAATAAAATTTGATCTTAACAATTTATTAATGATCTATGTATGTTAATCTTTTAAAAAGATTTAAAATAAACATTTTAAATTTTAAACTATTTAACAAAATTCTTTAACCATTAAAAAAAACATTACAAGTTATAGCTCAGTAATATAGTTATTAAAGACAGTTAGTTACAAACAAAAATATATAATATGTATTTATATATCTATGATTAGAAATTCAATAATAATTTTAAAAAACAGAAAAAAGTAAAACATTTTCTAGATAATGTTATCTATATTAAAATGATAATAATAAAATATTGTGATTTAGATTAATTGTAGTTAAGACAATTATTTCAATATTATATTTAAAGTTAATTTAATATTTCTACCTTCATATTTTAATTCATTCACGGATAAGTTGAGTTATACTCTCTGGGAATAGATTTAAAATTTTCATTATCAAACAAAATCATTCCTATTATGTTTTCATTAGCTTTTCTTTCATACTACGCGTGCGATGAAGAACAAAAAAAGTCTTTTAATCAATTATATGTTCCCAATTTCGATGTAAAAGTGTGCTGTAAAAATGTTATGAACCATATTAAAGTCAAGTCATTGATTTTGGACGTGTCTCTTTGTCAAGAAGCTTCATTAAATGGCCATTTAAATTGTTTGAAGTATTTCCATGAAAATGGTGCCAGTTGGGATGAATATACGACCATAAATGCTGCTAAAAAAGGATATCTAAGATGTTTGAAATATGCATTTGAAAATGAATGCCCTTGGAATGACTGGGTTACATATTGGACATTATCTGAAAAACACTTTGAATGTTTCAAATATGCTGTAGATAATAAATGTCCTATAGATTTATCTACTTGTTATAAAGCTGCTAAATTTGGTTATCTTAATTTTTTAAAATATGCACATGAACATGGGTGCAAATGGGATGAAAGAACTACAGAAAGTGCTGCTCATAATGGTAATTTAGACTGTCTCAAATTCGCTCATGAAAATAATTGTCCCTGGGATATTAATACAACACATTCAGCTGCTATGAATGGAAAACTAGAGTGCCTTAAATATGCTCATTTTAATAAATGCCCCTGGGATGCTGACACATCATGGTATGCTAGTATGAATGGTCATCTGGATTGCTTAAAGTTTGTTCATGAACAGGGTTGTCCATGGGATGAAAATGTTTTAATAATAGCTGCTGAAAATGGTCATTTAAGTTGTTTAAAGTATGCACATGAAAATAGTTGTCCTTGGGATATACTAGTTACTGAAAAAGCTACAGCAAATGGTCATTTACATTGTTTAAAGTATGCTCATGAAAACGGATGTCCCTGGGATGACACTATCACTGCTACAGCAGCCGAATTTGGTCAATTAGAATGTTTTAAATATGTTTATGAAAATGGCTGTCAAATTAATAATTCAGCTGCAGAAANTGCTACAGCAGCCGAATTTGGTCAATTAGAATGTTTTAAATATGTTTATGAAAATGGCTGTCAAATTAATAATTCAGCTGCTACTTTAGCTGCAGAAAATGGTCATCTAGATTGTTTGGTATACGCTCATAAAAATGGTTGTCCTTGGGATGATTTCACAACACGCATTTCTGCTGAAAATGGTCACTTAAATTGTTTAAAATATGCTTATGAAAATGGTTGCCCATGGAATGAAAGAGTAATTGAAAATGCACTTAAAAATGAATATTTCAATTGTGTAAAATATGCATATGAAAATGGATGTCCATATAATAAAGATCTATATAAAAATGATTGCTATACAAATTATTTAGAGAGTTTATAGGTTAGTTTTCAAAAGACCAAGAATTAACTTTTACTAAGTTTCTAGTATATATACATTTTTTTTCTCGTTATTTTATGTCTATGATTGTTGTTCAGTTATTATGTACAGTCTGTTATTTAAGTGTGTTAATTCCATTTGTTAATATTTATATTTGTTTATATGAATTATATATTTCTGATCCGATACTTTTTAATATAAAACAAAAATTGAACAAATTAATTTATTTTGTTAAAATAATTTATAATTATGTTATATTATAACATTAAAATAGATAGAAAAAAAAAATTAAATATTATTTATTATATAAGTTTCTAATTTTTTTATATTTCAATATATAAATGATTCAATTTTAGATTCAGAGCTTAGCTTTGATAACTATATAGTCTATCGTGTTGACCGGAGTGATAAAACCAGTTCATGTTTGAGAGGTGGTGGAGTAGCAATCTGTGTGAATAAATGTTTATTTTCAGAAATCATAAAGATCCCCACTGATAATGTTGAACAGTTGTTTGTAACTGTAAATAGTGGTGGTAATTTAAAATATATTATTGGTGCATGCTATATACCACCTGGGAGCTCAGTTAGTGTCTACTCAGCTCATGCTGATACTGTGCAGTCTATTTTATCTAGTGTTGTTAAAACCAATTTTACTTTTATTTTAATGGGAGATTACAATTTAGGTGATACAAAATTCTATAATGATGACCATGGCATGATTTACGATGGCGCTCGATCAGTTAAAGTAGATGTTATTTATGAGTGCTTTTCATCTTTAAACTTGTATCAGGTCAACACAATTCCTAATATATACAATTCATATCTGGATTTAATATTTTCTAATACAAATTTGATCACTGTCAATACCTCAACAGATATATTGGTGCCATTAGACCCATACCATCCGGCTTTGTTAGTTGAGTTACAACGTAGNTTTTTTTGTAAAGCCACATAATTTTCCTAGAGGTTATTAAATATATTTTAATAACATGTTTAGTTAAAAAATGTATATAATAATATGTTATATTTAAACAAATTTTTTATTTAAATTTATTATACAAAAATGTATTTACAAATTTAAAAAGTGAATTTAGAGTAATGAACTTACAATATTAAAACTATATACTACTAGATAATTAAAAACAAAATTCACTGGTATACATTACAAATAAAAAATCAAGCATACTTAAAATAATACATTCCTAACTACTTATGTTATGAAAAATTTAAGTGAATATTAAGAGAAATATTTTTTTATAAAAATATTTAATTTAAAATTTGATTAGTAAAAATTTAATAAACTAACTGATTTAATATTATCAATAACTATGCACAAATTTAGGTTTTTTTTTTTTAATCCATTGGTTTATATAAAATAATAGATACAAGATAAACATGATCAAATTATATTACGAAAAATGTGTAAATTAATTTTTCTTAAGTTTTCGAATTCTATTCATTGAATGTTATTTATGGTAAAAATTATAATAGTTGTATTGCTTATGCTTTAAACTTTGACTCCAGGGTAATAGATGTTGTTATCGGGGCAATTAGTATATGGTTTGTCATTATGGTGCCTAAATGAATCACAATCGATAAGTTTCAATAATTTGTTAAAACAGATACGAACTTCATCAATATACACTACATGGTTTTTCTAAAAAAATTTAATTAAATATAATATTTATTTAAAATTACTATAATTATAATAATCAAAATAGTTACCTTATCGGTGTAACAATCAATAAATGGCCTCTTGCCTAAAGCCGTTATTAAAGTTTGCCAATATTGGGCTAATGGATAAGAACCATCAGTTTGAATACCACCTTTAGCTAATAAATTATTCAATGGATACTCTATAGACCAATTTAAAGCTTGCTGAAAGTATTTCAATTCAGTGTCAAGGGCTGGAAGTGATTTAGCACAAGTGCCATGTTTTGTCCACTCATGTTTCCAAAGTTCTCCTTCTTTTTTGTTTAACCATGAATTAGAATTTTTTACTTCAGTCCATCGATTTTTCATTTCAGACTTTATACTATCTAATACATCTAAGTTCAATACTGTTTGATTGTTACAATAAAATGGACCAGAAGTACCTATTTTATTTGGCCTGTTACACAAATTTTTTTTACATAAAATATATTAGTCTTAATAAATTATTAGAGTTTATCAAAAATATTAAATATTATTGATATTTCATTAAAATATGGATATTTTTTACTAATGCTATCAATTTTTATAAAATATTGAATGATCATGAAAGTATAACAATATATTATGGAAAAAAATTTTAATTTTAATTTTTTCGACCAATAAATGTTTAGTTACTTAAATATATTTGATTATCCAGTCAAATAGTATAATAGTATAGCTTTATCTATATTTAAAACTAGTAAATATTTATATAATTAATATTACAAATTAATAATATTTAGTACATATTATCATCAGATAATTTAAAGGGGGCTAGAAATCTTTAAAACTCTTAAAATTTGCCATAGATTTCCAAATATTTTTATAAAAACATATGCACAATTATATAACAATATATAATTTTTTTTTTTTAATTTCTTTGGGGGCTATTGCTAATTTTTTGGAATTTAAAGATTTTTTGCCACCCTAAATATGTTTCTGATGTAACAGATCCACAGAATAATGTTTCAGGGGACTTACAATTATGTTTCTATTATTATATGTATAGGTATTTTGATACAGCAAATGATGTTATGATCTATTCACTTTTACTTCTTTTTTTATGTTAAAAATAACAAATAAAAGATTATCCTTTGTTTTTACTGATTTCATAAATGTTTAATTAGGAATCAATAAAATAAATTTGATTATTTAATATAATACTTGACTATCAAAAAAAAATTCTAATATCAATATTTCTTTATGAATAATATATAGATTAGTTTTAGTGACCCACTCTGTATTTTCTTTTCATATCAATAATATTATTATTAATTAATATTTAGACTAAATTTTTTTTTTAAAGATATTGTTAACCAACTTTAAGTTATATACTTTAAAATTTGACTTAACTTCATTAAGAATCATTAGGTTAATCTTAAATACAAAAAAAATTATATAAAGCAAAAATAACTTTCAGACGTAGTTTGAATAACAACAGTAATCATACAACACTGATAACACTTATTATTAGTGCATAAATTAATTACTTCAATATTTAAATAAATAAATATATAAATCATACCAGATTCCATGAATTGTCCATTGGTTACGATTTTGTGGTAAATTACAAGTATGGCTACTTGAGTCAATTGTCCAAGTATGACAGAATGTGTATGGCCATGTTTGAGAAAATACTAAATAGTCCCATTCATTACTAAAACATACAAAATATTTATTTTAGTTCAGTTTTGTTAATGTAATTTTATTTTTTTTTTTTACGAATTTATTAGTTAAATCAATTGTGTTTATAATAAAAATATCTTTAATAATGTCATTTATTAACCACCTACAACATTAAAATGAACAAATAATTCATAGAACACAGACAATTACATTGAAAGAAAATATATTGTACCGTATAATATATGGAAAAGAATTTGATCTATTTAATTTAGGAAAATATGCAGTATTGGAATATGGCTGATATGAATTTGATCTGTTTAATTGATTTTTTAATGTATTGTTTGAATATTTTCTATTTTGTTGATTTAAATCTTGGCTTAAAGTGTTGTTGATATTGGAATTACTTTTATTAGAATGTCGAGAAGTTTTAACAGTCCACTCTCCATCTTGATTAACTGAACTACGTTTAGATCTTGTAATGGGCACCACTTTTGAGTGCCTGAAAGTATATATTTATAAACTCTTTTGATAGTTTTCAAGTCGTATTTCCATGCAATGGTGTTAGAAACTTCTGTTAGATATTTTATTTAATTACAAATTTTAGTATCTTAAGAGTCGCACAAAATTCTCATGAACAGCATTAATTTCAGGTTAATTAAAAATAAAATTAATAAGGTACTGATAAAATCTACTTACTCATTAGAGTTAGAATTGTTGTGTGGAGTTACATAATCAAGATATAAAATTGGTTTTTTTTTATCACAATTTGTCAATTGAGAATTTGATTTCCCATAACCTCGAGAATTTTTTATACCGTCACAATCAATAAGTTCTAAATTTTTATTAAAGCATATTCTTATTTCATTTAATAATTGTTCGTCTGTATCCTAAAATATATTACTAATAAATAAGCTATATTATTGTTATTTATAAAATATTTATGAAAAACGAAATACTATTTTAAGTTAATTGATGTAATACCTACTTTTCTGTGAAAACAAAATACATATACGTTCACATTTAAAACTGATTTTATTTTTTTTAAATAATCATCAACAGTCAATGAACTATTAACAGCTATACCAGCTTTTTCAAGAATATCTTTCATAGGATATTTTTTAGCCCATGTTATGCCCTGATAAAAGTAATAGAATTCTGATTTTAATGAAGGCAAGCTCACAGCACATGTTCCATGTTTTTCCCATTCATGCTGCCATATACTCTCTTTTTTTGTGACGGTAATATTATTTGTATTCATTGTAACATTTGTGATATTAATTGTATTTGTTTTGTCCATAGTAACATTTAACTGTGGTAATTCTATATCAGTCCAGTACTTATTCAAGTCATCTTTGATACCATAGAGAGCATTCTCATCAAATACCATGGTCTTATTACAAAATCCTGGTCCTATAGTCCCTAATTTGGTAGGCCTAATAAAAAATAAAAATGAAATACATTATTCTATGTTTTTGTAAATTAGATAAAATGCAAGCTTTATTTTTAATTTCAACATACTCCTATAGTAAAACTAATATTCAAAATGTCAAATAAAAAATATAGCTTTGTTGGTAAAACTTTACCTTTTTTTCTATTTCTTAATTTTTTTATTTGTTCCACAACAGAAACAAAATTTATTTATTCTATTTCTAAATAGAACACAAGGCACTTCGTGGAATAATAAAATTGAGTATAGTTTAAGAAAAATTCAGAAAATCATCTTCAAACAAACTTTAAAATTGTATAAAGAACATACCATATCCCATGGATTGTCCACTGATTTTTAACAGGCGGATAATGACATTCATGTGATGCATTATGTTCTTTCCAGGTATAACACAGTGTTGTAGGCCATGTTTGTGTGAATATGAGAATATCCCAACTATCGGAATCAGGTTTTTTCATTGTTAACCTATAATTAAGATTGCTATTAGTATATATTAATGACACTTAAATGTAGAAAAAATGATTTCACAAACAAATAAAACTAATATCAATAATTTTGTACAAAAAGGTACATTTTTGTTTTTTTCAGGAGAGTACAGTCAGCCAGAAATTAAAAAAAAAAAAAAATTTAATTAAAAAATCTTTATTTCTAAGTTAAACTTAATAAATTTATTTTAAATGTTATAAATAACATTCTGATATTAAATAAAACTATTTAAATACTGATAAAATTATCAAACTTTAGAGTTATGAACTCAAAATGTATGACGTAAATAAAAAGCATTAATATACAATATTTTTCTTGTTTGGGTCTCTATATAAAGAACATAACTGTATATTCATTTTTTAAGTAAAGATGTACAAGAAAGTGTTAAACAACTTCCAGAGGCAGATAATTGCTCTGATAATAAAAAATAAAATAACAATATTTTACAATACAAATTATGTTAAATGATGAGTCAACTAAAAAAATTGGATTAGTACTACTTCATAATTTTAAAAAGTTAATTAATAATGCCAAATTTAGCTTTACACTTCATTTACATAACTGTATAGTAAAAAAAAAAATGATATTAACTTTTAAGTTACAACAGATTCTTGGGATAAAATTTTAAAGTTTTCAATAGTGTTTTGGCAAATATCTAACATAAATTCCACCCTACCAAATCAACAATAATTAATTTATTATATATATATTAGTCTGATCTAGTAGAATCTTCTAATTTAGATGGTATTTTATTATCATGGTTTATGTCCTACTTAATAGATAGAATACAAAAAGTAAAATTGGATAATTTCATATTCAAGATAATAAAAGTAACTTCTAGTACAGTAAGAAAAGCATTTGTGACATTTATTATTTTTAGTATTTATAAGCAATGTTGGTAAATTCTTTAAGAAAAGTAAGTTTGAACTTTTTGCTGATGACCTAAAATTATACATACCAATCTTTTGTAGATAGCGCTAAAATTTTAATCAGACTTATGATCAATTTTATAATATGAATACCAAATTTGGAGCCAGTCCAAGTGGTTTAGTAACTAAATTAGAGCATATTCAAAACCATTTTTTTTGAAAAATTATCATACAAAATAAATAAACCTAATGAAGATCTAAAAGTTCATTCTGTAGTATGTCTTTAGAATTTAAAAAAAAAATTATTGATCTACTATGGTTATTTAATTTATTAAACAACAAAATAAATTGTTCAGAATAAGGTACCTTTTTAAATTATTTATTCTAATATTTAATATATTTACATTTTTATAGTAGATTTATTGTTCATAAAATATTTTTAAAATAGAATTTTTACAATACTGCATGCCGCCTTGTGATCATGCAGTATTGATTAATATTATTTTTATAATTTCAAGCAATAACTAATATTAAAATAATAAATAATAATGATATTTCATAAATAATTGATACTCACCCTAGATAAGTGCAACCAAGACCAAAAGTTATTATGGTGGCACATAGTAATGTTGTTCTTTTATTCATTGCCACTTGATATTTCTTTCTAACAGCTGTAAAAATATACTAGTAATATTAATAATTATAACAACTTAACATTCTGTAATTAATTATTAATTTATATTTTAAAAATAATTCTTTACAATTGTGTAATGTTTTTCTTACTTTTTTAGAAATATTTGTACGGATAAATTTACTGTATCATAGCTATATAAACAGCCAAGGACAAATATCTGTTTTTGTCGTTATTGCACGATACTGTAGTAAAACAACAATGCACAATTTTTATGCTGATACTGCGATTTTAGAATTGACAATAATAATTGCTCCTATGGCTTCTAATAGTGATACTACATATTTTATAGATACTATGGAAATTTAAAATCATTAACCAAATTGTACCAATATATTTTCTCTATCTTGATAACAAAATAGTATGAAATCGGTAATAACGCTAGTACCGCTATGTACAGAGTGATTCTCTTATCATGATCCACTTAATAAATCAATAATAAAAAATTATTTATTTTTTGGTTTCTTTTAATTGTTTTTCTCAATGTACCAAATATAAAAAAACGTTAATATTATTTTTATTTTTCATAACACAAACGGATATAAAAACCGTAAAATATACGTTATTTCACATTTATTAATAAATTAAAAATCGCATTATCATATATTTTCTACTATTTCGTTAAAATTAAATTTCCAAGGATAATTATTGATGATAAACTTTAAAACAAACTAGGCGTGTAAAACCTCTTATATACAAAATATTGAATTTAAACATTTTAATCTCTAAATTAAAAAAATACGCTACTGAGCGATTGGGTCAAATGGGGTAATTGTAAATGTATTTTTTCTCTAAGAAAGTTGAAAAGTAAAATTTGAGTGTCGAAATGCTCATATAAAATTTTATTTGAGTTTATATTCACTATAGTGTGTACACGCACTCAATACATACATATAGTAAGGAATATTTTATATATCATAAATATATTTATAATCAATCTAAAATTTGTAAAACGCTGTTTAGTGATGCCAAGACCTGTTATTCGTACAACAAATTTTTTGTAAAACTCGCTTGTTAAACTTTGATACGTCCTGCCGCCTTCGAATACATTGTATGCTGTCAACTCATTCGTGACAAGTATGTTTTTTAATGTTACAAAAAAAAAACCATGCAAATTTCTGACAGATTTACGATTAAATCTTAAATAAAGTTTGGATAAATGTTATGTCATAGTATTATTTTTTTCTTGACATGTATTTACTTTTAAACAAGTTTTTTAAAACATATCAGATTTTTTTTTAAACATTTATATTATTGTTATTATTATTTATGTAGTGCGAAAAAATAATATAATTAATATTACATATTTTAATTTAATTGTTTGAATAATTATTAAAATTATCTAATATTTGGCACACTTAAATGAAATTAAAATTAAGCTTTAAATTAAAAGAGCATTGAAATCATTCTTAAACTTATGAACTCTACACGTTGCGGGTTTTCCTAATAACATATTTTATTTGAATTTTTCGCCGTTTTAAAAATATCTGTTTTATCTGCTGGAAACGTTTGAATTTATCGTTCAAATATACTAAAATTATTGCTATTAATAGACCGTCCGGTTGGGTTATAATTCTGTTTGTTATTTATTGCCCATTAGTATTGTAAATAAATTTCATTTATAAAGTGTATAATATGACGGCTTTGACAATTTTTAGTACAAATTATTCAAGGCACCACTTATTTATTAAAATTATCATTTTTTGTTATTTTTTAGGGGAAATGTTTGTTATATTTAATAGAAATTTAAAATACAAGAAGATTATATTTTATTTGAGATTATATACACAATGGAAAAGATGATCTGTTACAGATCTAACTGACAACTTATAGAACTAATGATCTACATAACATTTTATACTTTTTTTTTTTTTAATCAATTTTTATGATATAGAAATATATATTTAAAATATGTTTTATATTATTTTTTACAATTATAAAAAATATTTTAAAAATTAATTTTTTTAAGATTTGAAGATAGCCATTTTATAGATAAGTTTTAAAGAAAAATTTTGATACCAAAAACTCTTATTTTATTTCAGTAGTAACGATTATACAGCATTTTGAAGTTTGTAAAATTTTGATTTTTTTTTTTACAATTTTCCTATCAAATGTTAGTCAAATGTCAAATGTTTGGTATCAAATCTTAGTCCACATTATGTAGAGTACTAAAGTAAACACTGCCTTATTACGTTTTTTACTGGTTACAATAAGCTATTTCTTTTCCATGGATAATAACGTTTATAGCGCTTTCTACAGAAATTATTATCTATAATCTTTATTACAAAAGTTAGAAACATTATCGTATGTCAACTACAAGTGTTCCATGGTTAGCCAATTTAAAAGTAATAACAATCATTAATGTGCGTGTTCCATCATTGTTATCATATTATTATAGAATAATCCTTATCAGGAGATTTGATAATAAATTCACTTGTTCACTATTATTTATGTTTAAATTTATGATATATGAACTTATTTAATTAAAAACTCAACATATTTTAGATGTTTCTAGAATTTATTTTAATTATCTCAATAATACTATTACTTGTTTTTTCATGTCAATTACAAATGTTAATAATTTGCATGGAAAAGAATACGTGTACTATACCGAGATGAGACAATTCGCTTAAGTTTTGTTCAGGACACCTCATACTATTTAACAAAAAATTTTACGCCGGCTGTCGACCTGACGCAACTTCATTAGTCAAGGGGTTGGGTTGTCTTAAAAACTTATCTATAAAATCTTATAAAAATTAATTTTTATAATATCTTTTTGTAATTGCGAAAAAAACATATTTTATTTATATAGTTCTTTATTATAAATATTTATTAAAAATAAAAAAAAGTATATTATGTAGATCATAAATTCTATGAGTTGTCAGTTAGACCTGTTCCACCCTGTATATAATGCAATTAATAATTATTTAATCGGTGAATCACGGTAATAAATTTTAATTTAAAACTTAAAAGTACTTATAGCTCAACTTGCAAGTTTGAAATTGACATCATTAAATAAAAAAAACCCAGCACAGTGGGGTCGTGGCACAGTTGGGTCCAGTATAGATGATATCTGACAGTATTAAAATCACTATCATAAAAAACGCTTCGATGCAAATTTGTAGTGTTTAAATTAAAAAAAAAATTTGTCAATATAGTAGGTCAAGTGAAAGCTGAGAAAATAAATGATGGCTACAAAAAAAAACCACATAGTACAATAATATTAATATGAATTTCTTCTCACGAGAGGAGACTACAGTAATGGGATCTTTGATATTTAATGAAGTTATTGAATCTAAATGAGATAAAAATCAAATGAGTTTAACATTTTTTTCTAACTCAAAAAGAATTCAGAAAAATTTCAGTGTCACAGGTGTGAAAAACTCAAGTGTTACCGTCTCAGAAACCATACGTCTCATTCGTCACTTAATAAAAATTGAAATTTAGCTAGTTCAAATTTTAAAGTTATTTTTTTCGACTTCAAAGAAACAAAAAAAATTAAATATGTTTAACTTTTTATACTATGTCAATTAGATTGATATAATATTTATGAAAATCAGTGTAATCCCCTTATATTTATATACTTCTTTCATTCGACATACTTTTTTTTTAAATTAGACTATTTCCCTTAATACAGGGGGGGTTCAAAATATAAAAATGCATATAGAAAGTAGAACTTTTTCAACTTAATTTTTGAAAGTGTTCCGGAAATACTGACACTTTTATATATATCTTTAATTAGAGCTTATGTAATATACTTTAAAATTAAAAAAAAAATTTTGGACTTTATTTTGTTTTCATGGTGAAAACAGTCATCAAAGTTAATAAAAAAAATATGATTTTTGTAAAAATATTCTTTTTTATATTTTTAACTTTATATCATTGTCTGATTAAATCTATACTGAACCCAACTAAGTCACATTCCCACTGAGCTGGGTTTTTTAAATAATAAATCTTTCTTGAGCTGCTTCATACAAAAAATTGATCATCTATATCAGATGTTTGTAGACTTATTTTCAATGTAACAGATCAACTTTAATGGAGATTGACTGATATTTTACTGCTTTTATGCAAATGTCATTAAAGATAATTCATTTTTATTTATGATTAGAGTAACATGGATTTACTCAAAATAAATATAATTTAATAAAGATTTTTTTAATTCAATCATTTAATGAGTTACAAATTATTTTGCTTAAGATTTATTTTAACCCTCAGATTGTCTTTTTTTTAAAGATAATTTTGTTTTTAACTGCAATAATATATCAATTTCTGGCTGTAAAATGTTTTTCTCGACTTTGGATGCTTTCAGCTCTCGAACTTTGGTTCCCTAAACATTTTTAAAAATAGTAAGTTTACAAGCAGTAGTAGAATTAAATTTTTTTTGAAATATAAAACAAAATAATAAGTAAGGCTTTTGATGAATAAAATATGACACTACATACTTGTTGTACAATTTTATCTTCAAGTTCTTCTACTGATTCTGTGCAACTTGAGGCAATTTTCATTTGTTCCAAACTTTTTTTTATTTGCAGTAACGCTTTAATGTATGGTTCTAAGTCATTTTTTTGAGTTCCGTTTTGTTTTAAAGTTCGAACTAAATTACCCTATCAATATACATAATATACAATATTTTTGTTTAAACTTCTAAAAAAACTATCTTAAATGTATTTTGTATATAAAGGATCAGGTTTCTTGGCTGTAACTTATAGAATTAAACAATTATTCACTGTTTTACATTATTAAAACACTAGAAATTTCATGAAATAATAGTTTCAAATAGAGCAAGAATAGCATAAAAAATCTAGAACGCTGGAGTCGCGGCACGGTGAAGATATAACATAGTTGGGTCAAGTATAAGGATATCTGACAATGATTAAAATCACTACCATAAAAAACGTATTGGTTTTTTATGACATTAATATTCGCAGGTACACAGCATTGTTATTATCAATGGTAGTAAGGCACATTGTTGTGAGTTCATAAATACACTAACTGACTATATAAAAAGTATATCTATTGATAGTCATAATTGATAATAAACAATCCGTGACTGTGACAGCGATGTCATCAAAAACAATATAGCTACCTGTATTTGTAATCATTTGTGTACTTTACAAGTATATTAATTATGTAAATTTCCTATATAGATAAATTAATATTTACCATTATTGAAAACTTTATAATAAGAATACACATTAAAACATTATATATAGTAAAGTAACAAAAGCTTCAGTAAACAGTAATGAATTAATTTAGATGATTTCTTTAAAGTGGACAAAAGCTGTACATAAGATTGCAGCCGAACCGTACCCACATACACACAATTGCAGCACCTCGCTAATAATATACGTTTCTGTATATTGCTAAGACGACGCTGCCAGTCGTCCAAAATAATGTCAACAAAATTATAATTAGATCAAAAGTTATAAGAAACATTAGAACTTGTGGGACACCTTTATGTTTACACATTTTTCATTTTATTTCGACTTTTTGACCAAATCTTTATAGTTGGTTCTTTTAAGTTAAAAATACTAAAGACTCTTATTTTCAACAAATGTTATTTAGTTCGTTCATAATTTATTGAAAATTATTTTAATTATTTTTAATACAATACTTATAACATTTTTCAATAAGAATACTCAGAAAACCTGATTTTGTCATAAACACTACTTGCTACTTGCAAAGTAGGGACATTTTTTCTGCTAAATCAAATTTCTATAGTATTTTTTGAATTAAATGAACTATTAAGATACAGTCGAAAAATTTTTAAGTAACTAAATATTATATTTTTAGATCACCTTAATCTACTGGTTTTAATTATATAATTATATATTAATAATTCAAAAATATATGTAACTAAAGATAACAAAAAAAAAAAAAAATGTTTAAATATATTTATTTTGTAAGTAATTGAGTGGGTTATGATAAAAAAATCAACCTGTAGAGTAGTTACTATAGAGGAAATTTCGATCATGTCTTTAAAGTATATAATTTGTGACTTTTTAATATTGTACTTAAAAACAATTTCAACTAAAATATTAAACTAGGAAAAAAAATTAAAACCTTTTTTAAGCTATTATAAGTGCGTCATTTAAACTAATAAGGTCTAATAAGGAACTATATTTCTAATAAGGAAAATATTCAATGAGATATACCAAGTTAATAAAAAAAAATAGAAAGACTATTTTGATGTGTTTAAAAGCCCTAGACTTGATGTATTGTATGAAAGTTATTTATTTCTACAATACAAAATTGTATGCTGTATACTGTTGAACTAATGTTGTATATGTAGTTTCTTTATCAGACATGGGATACATGATAATTTTTATGAACACATTGTTATCCAGAATTTGTTGAAAATTTGCTTTCAATAATAATGTATCAATTAAACTAGGGATTGGCTTGGGCTATTGGTAGAAACATATATTTCGGCACAAGGGGTGTTAGATATGATTCTCAGAGTGCCAACGAGATTATTCTTCTAATTTTCTCATTAGTGGTATCTGGTCTCTGGTGCAAGCCAGTCATAATACCCATCCCATTCATCATTAGCTTAACCAAGAACCATCTGACATATGAAAAAGGACCACCACCCTCTCTAACATGTTAAGTTCAGGAAATAGAAAGATATAAAACTGAACATTTATAATGTGTCAATTAGACTGATAAAAAAAAAAAAATGAATTATTGTTTTTCCAAAAATCAATATTACACACCAAAAGAAGATCATATAATGGTTTGAATCCATCCAAATTTGTACTTTTTTGATCAACTCTAAGAAGCCACCTCAAAAGCACATTTAAAGAACATGGAAAAATGGGATGTTTGTGTAAAATTTTGGGTTGCGCTCTTTTATCTTCTTTTGATGTCTATGCATAAAAAACAAAACACACTGAAACACTTTTTCTTCAGAACTTTGAGACTTATGCAATTTCTTAAACAAGTTATTAATTTATAATAAAAATTAACCCTACTTGTTTTGATGCTGCTTCTTCTAACTTTTCAATGCTGGTACATAAATTAATATCCAATCCAGGAGCAAATGCAGGTTCTTTTTCTGGAGTTTTTTGTTTTCCAGCAAAACGAGCTTTTAGTTTATTTACAACAGTTTGCTCAATTTTTTCAAAAAGTGGAGATGGCTAAACCAATGAAATATAAAATTTTATACTAAAACTCTATTTTGTAATTGAACAACAATTAAAGAAAAAAGACAAAAATTGAGTATTAGATTTCTTAACTATTTATTTTTTACTTATTATATAAATTAAGTTAAAATATTTATAGAACAAATTTTAGGGAATTGAAAATTTCAACTAGAGATAAAAGGAAAATTTTTACTTATTTCACTCTCCTCTTAAAATAATAGTGAATTTTTAATAGTTTTTAGAGCAAAAAAAAAAATCATTAAAGTTATATATTTTGTAAAAAAATTTTTGCTTGTGTCACTAGTGTTGTAATTGATCTTTTTTATTAGTTTGGGCTATTGGTTTTCAGAGGGAGGTTTTAACACAATCTAGTTTTATTTAAATTATTTATTTAAATTTACTTTTCCAATTTTGTGTCCAGACTTCAAAAGATTTGATACAAAATCATTTAATAAAAATGAAGTAATATTGACATTGAGCTGTTCACCAATTGTTTTAACAGTTTGAGGCATGTAAGGTTGTAACATTATTGCTAATAAACAAACTATGTTACAGCTTAAACCAATAACAGTACCAGCTCTACTCCTAAAATCATAATTTTTGTAATAAAATTGATTGAAATTATTATAATTAAGTTTAATTTTTTACTTTTCTTTAGCAGATCCTTTTACCAGAACCCATGGTTTTTGAAATTGCATATATTGATTACCATGACGAGAAATAGAAAGTACGAGACGTAAACCATCTCTTAGCTTAGCTTTATCCAATACATTAATATATTCTTGTAGATCACGAGTTACTAATGCCAATAATGTCAGTTCATCTTTTTCTAATTCTATATCTGGTATGATACCATTGAAAAATTTGTCAAGGAATGATAATGCCCTATAAAAATATTTAAAAAATGTTCATAAAATTGTATTACAAATAGAGTATAAATGTATAATATAAATCATACCTATTACAAAAATTACCCAAATTATTTAACAGTTCAGAATTATTTTTAGTAGCAAGATCTGCCCAGCTAAATGAACTATCTTGAGATTCAGGTCTGACAAATAATAAATAAAACCTAAATACATCAGCAGATAAACCTGTATCACGAGCATCATTACCAAAAACTCCAATTCCACGAGATTTAGAAAATTTACTATCTTCATAATTTAAATATTCTGTGAAAAATTATAATTAAATTATTATATTAGCAATAATTAAATCAATAAACATTACCTGTGGCCATTATATGATTAACCATAGTATAATTTTGTTCAGTTGCCATAAGCGTTGCTGGAAACATAACAGAGTGAAATGGTACATTATCCTTTGCCATGAATTGGTAATATGTAATATTGACATCATTTTCAGGTTGCCACCATTTGCGCCATTCAGGAGTATGAGATGCAGTCATACTCATATAGCCAATAGGTGCATCAAACCACACATAAAATACCTGCAGTTATAATATGCGTTTATTTATTCCTATTTAATATTAATAATTAATTTTAATTGTCAATAAAATATGTTTAAAGTATACTTTTGACTTGAATTCATCAAGAGGAACTGGAATACCCCATTTCAAATCTCTAGTAATACATCTTTCTTTTAAACCATCTTTCATCCATGATTTTGTAATTACTTTTGCATTGTATGACCACTTATCACCAGATTTTTCAACCCATTTATTCAATTTATTTTCTATTTTAGGTAAATTTAAAAATAATTGTTGAGAATTCCGAATAACCGGATTTTTTTGACAAGTTTTACATCTAGGGTTTAATAACTCAGTTGCATTAATCAAATGACCACAGCCATCACACTGATCACCTCTAGCATCTTCGTGACTACACCGAGGACATGTTCCTTCAACAAATCTATCTGCTAAAAATCTAACAAAACAATTCAATAGTAAGAAAAATGTTATGTAAAAAAAAGTAAAACCATACAAACCGATCACAGTTTTCACACAAAAGTTGTTCCATAGAAGCAGTTGTAGTATAACCATTATTATAAACTACTTGAAATATTTCTTGAACAATTCTGTTCAAATCAAGATAATATGAGAATTAAACAGTAAAAATTATTATTGCTTTTACCCAATTTGTTTAGGTGATGTAGTTCTGCCAAAGTAATCAAAACCAATATTAAACCATGAGTAAATTTCTTTATGAATTTCAAAATACTTGTCACATATTTGCTGGGGTGTTAAACCTTCTTCTAATGCTTTAGTCTCAGTAGCAGTACCGTATTCATCTGTACCACTAATATATAAAGTATTCCAACCACGAAGCCGACAATACCTAGCAAGAAAAAATAATATTTAGCTATATTGTCTACTAAACTAAATAATTTATGAAACACTCATATAATGTATGACTTTGTAAGTGATGTAATACCTGTTTTGTTAATATCTTCCATCATATTATGATGGAAGATGTACTATTAAAGAAATTTCAGCTTTGCATTATTAATATGATTTTTGAAGATAGTTTAATTTGGGCTTATAGTAGTACAGGAATCTTAAAGTACCCTTTTAATTAAGCAAATAGCATAATTTATTTTCTTTAAATAAGTCAAATGGAAACAAATTAAGTTAACTTAAAAAATCAAACAATTTAATTAGAATACAAATTCAGTTTAAAACCATTATATATAAGTGCCCATAGTATATCTTAAAATGGTAAATTAATACAATGGGAATATTTATTTATAATTTAATATCCAGAAAAATTACTCAATCTTACTGAGAAACACTTTTATGGAAGCTGAAACATATGAACTTTGTTTTATATTGATCTATTCATGTATTTATAAAATGACTTATGACTTATGAGAAAAATGTTAATAAGAATCTTATTAGTATTGTGGCAGATAAAAATACTAATGGCTCCTCTAAAGCACTGTGTATGTTATATAAATGATTTCTAAGTTTATTAGTTTTACCTTGCAAAAACATCAGCAGACAATACACAACCAATTATATTTCCAAGATGAGGAACATTGTTAACATACGGAAGAGCTGAAGTTACAAGAATATTAGTTTCCCCTTTTTTGGGTAACCTAAAAATAAAAAAATAGAACTTATGTTTTAATGTTTATTTGTTGAAAGTGTCAAATTCGGGTGTTTAAATAAATACATAAAAATGTGCAAGGTGTTCTTACGATGAGTTTTCATTTTGTATGTAATTTGAATTCCTGATACTCGTTTTATTAAGCCATGAATCTTTTACATTCATCAATTCAGAGTTATCCAACTCAGTGACAGCAGACATTATTATAAATTGAGTTTATCCAAAAATTTAAAAAATTATAATATCCACAATTATTTGAATTAACCTACTTCTACTAATAATAATACTTGGCAGTATTTCTTATCATGGAGTTTTTTAAGGTTATCACTTTAAGTGAAATAACGGGGAAAAAATTACAGTAAGCTTAATATAAGATATGAATCGATTTTTTAGACAAAATTATTAAATAAAATTTTTAAAGCTACAATAATACAAAAGACTAATAAAAACACATAAGAATTAAAAAATATTTGACAACTGATTTGCTAATTTTAACTCTAAAAAATCACGAAATATCAAAAAAAGTTTAAAAAAACACACTCAACTCTAAATTATTATAACATTATAAAATTCATAAAAATAATCTTACTAGTGTTTTAGGGAATCCAAAGCAAATTTTTCTGATAATTTTTTAATTAACATTTAGGAATTGTGATGACTGGTGGTATTCAATTTTGCTGCCTCCAATAACCTTTTAATTTTGCTTATCAAAAAATTGTTCTGAAATTTGTTATTTAAATGAACAAAAGTAAGGTCCTCAACTCTAATTTACAATATTTCATAGTAAGTGCCACCCGGGGTAATCACAACTAGTACCCCCTTAAACGGCTATTATGAAACCTTTATGTACCTCAGGAGATAATATCTCTAAATACGACCTGAGGTGGGTACCACAAATATTCTTTATTCAACGACCAATTTTATTTATAAAAATTTAGTCAACGGTGAAAAGTAATAACTATAATTTTAGATTTAGTCAAAGCATTCGATTCTGTTGATCACAAAGGATTATTTAACATTTTACCAGACTTTGGAAAAAATGTAGAAAGTTTTTGTTAGTGTTCTGGTTAACTAGACAACAGGACACAAATAATATTCGAAGCAAAAAAATATACAAATTATGATGGTCTATATTGTTATATTTTTTTCACTATCGATCGCATTTGATCAGAGGTTAAAATGGAAACGCAGAGGGACTCAGTCTTACTATCTATAATGATTGTTAAAATGAGCCACCTTTAACAAATTATTTGTAAAGTACACCGGAATGTTACAATTATAACCAAATATTAGTCAGTATAATTCAGAATTTTGTTGAGATTTTAATCTTGGTTTTTAATTATTTTTTTATCAATTGTTACTTTACTTTTATAAAATTTATTTAATACAAATTATGGATTATTTAATTTATGTGTAAAAGAAAATTATTTTATTAGTTATTGTAAATAAAGTATATGGTTCTGTAGTTATTTTATGGTATTAATATTACGGTTTTATACGCATTTATTATTAAGAATCAATTATCATGCGTAGAATTTGAATTTTTTCTTGTACAATTTAAAGCACTTTAAACACTACATTTTTATGATATAAATATCTGTTGTGGTTTATCTAGGTGATTTTTTTAAATAACAACCATATTTTACACATACTTACCACAACATATTATAAACAATTCCATACATTTTATATTCCCAATTTTAAAGATGTTATTTAATATGAATTTACATATGACGTACAACTCAACAATTATGAGTTGAAAACATTTAATTGAATTATTGTGATCAGATAATTATTTTCAATAATTATATTAATCCTAACCGACAAGATATGTTGTTTACGACAAAATGGTTTTTCTTTAATATGATTAATGAATAGTAATAGACCACTATTAGAACTGTATATGTATTACAATATCAGTACCAAAAAGGACTAAATTAGGCGATATGTTCGGTGTCTTGAAAAGGTGTCCAGAGATTAATGGCGGCTTTAATATAATGTAATTTGAATAGTCTTCGCGCAATTGCGACCAGACAACTCTGCGGCCACAAACCGCGAATATTTAGTCATATTTTGTGCTTTAATTTAACTAAAATCTACCAAAGTCAGCTACCATATTATTTTGAATGGCAGCTAATTTCATAGGGAGGATATCCTTTGGCCTGTCCATAGTACCATTATTAATGATCATATTTTCAAAAAAGTATGTTGTAACAAAGACATATCTTTATCAAGTATAAAGGGTGTTCAGTAAGTTAGGAAAGAGGTTTTCATTGTTTATAACAATTGTTTCCTTACTGAAAACTCTGTAAATACTTGTCTTATTTTAGATAATCGTTCGTTAGTATATTATATAAGCTTAAATTTGTTGTTTAATGTAGGTTTGGAGAAGTTATATTTTTTTGGAATATTATAAAAAATTAAAAAAAAAATGTGTGACATCTTCTTTAATTATAATTTCATCAAATGAGCTACAGTTCCTTTGATACGGTTTTTGGAAGTAAGATTTTTTCTATGGTAAAAATAATAAAGATGATTATCATCGTTCCATAATTTATTATAAAAATGAAAATATTTTCATTATGTGAAATTAAAGTTATTTCGTAAAAATCTGTTTAGTTATCTCTATTTACTTATTAATACAAAAGGTTCATTAAAAAAGGGGTTGGGTCGGTTTAATGCTCCAATCATTATAAGTTACTGTTTTATAAAACCATGGTTTGAACACCTCATCTCTTGGTAGGTCAACTCTGAGTTGGCCTGAAGTAAAGTTATAAATTTATGAATGATACAATTTAAAATTTTATAAGTATCCCCAATAATCGACTTATAAATGTTGGTCTAAATTAATTTTGGGGAGGTTTTATAATAATAAATTTGGGTTCCTAATTCCTGAAATATGCAACCTAACATACGTGGTATCTTTAGTGGTAGCTTCTTGTTATCAATGGTATATAGCTAAAAAATATCAATTAATCGAAAGTAGCTAACTTCATACGTATATTTATTTAGATTTTTATATTATTTATATTACCGTAACTACTTAAAATTGTGCTATTTCATTTAAGATTGTAGATTACAGTTCATTAAGTATAATTATACATTGTGTTAAAACTAAATTTTCAAAACTACATAGTTGTTTTAGAGTTTAATCATTGTATTTAAAATAATATTCAATCATTCTAAATGATAGTTATTGAATAATTTGCTATCAGACGTGTTCTATCGCATTTTTTTGCGAATGATGCCTGTCGGCTAGAACACTTGTCTTATAGCATTCTCTTCGTATTTTTGGTTTAGGCTTTCAACTGTTACTATATATACTTATTTAAGTGTCAATAGTTTAAGTGAACAACAACTAAAATGAGTGTTGTGCAAGGTGGTTTGAGCAAGCTTAAAAAGAAACATATCGGTGTGAAGCGACAAAAAGTCAAGTTGTTCCGTGCTAATGAACCATTACTTTCTGTTCTTATGTGGGGAGTTAACCATACTGTATGTATATATATGGACAACTATAATATAAATTTGATATGTAATTTATGTTAATTTTTATTTAAGTTGAGTGGTGATATATTATTAAAGAAGTTTTTACGTATGAATGTCAAACATTAATAAAAAGTCCATTTATACAATGTGATATATAATGTTAATTGTGGACAAAATTTATGTAATAGTTAAAAAGAGGCTTGCTTATTGTCATTAAAGTAACTTATAATGAATTTTTTCATAATGCAGTCATTTTATTCGAAAAAGCTATTTCTGGTTTTTCATTTATTGAACTCAAAATATGATAGCAGTATTTTGTACTATTCCAAATACTACCATGGATTTCTAAAGCTGCTATATAAATGGTATTTTATAATGTTATATGTTGTTATCTTTTTAAATCATTAAAATATATAGGTGTGCCATAAGAAAATAAAAAATTGATTTTCATAGGTTACTCTAATGTTCATTTGATACATTGCCTTTTAAAATTTTAACATTTAGAATTTGGATTCTGGTATTGGGATAATGATAGTCTTAATAAGTTAGTGTTAATAGGATAGAAATTATAGCATTAAATAATCATTGCCTTCTATAATATAAGACAAATTGAGGTCTTATAATGATACATATTTATGGATTATCTTTATAATTATTTTAGTTGGTATAATTTAAGTGACTTGTTTGATTTTAAGCATAAATTAATATTTTTAGGAAAAATTATTTTATTCCTTTTTTCTCAATAAATTAATATTTTTGAGTATACAATAGCTGCTATAGTTTAAATTAAAATAATTTAACATAAAATAATAAATATTGTAAATTTGATTGTTTTAGTTTTACTTGTGTTATATATGAGTTAGAATATAATATTAGTGTTTTAAGTATTATTTAGAAGTGCAGGGTATATAAAAAAAACAATGTGAGTCGTTTTTTTTAAAAATACACATTTTGGTGTTATAAAATTATTATTGTCATAATTTATTTATCAAGCCATTAAACTAGTGAAAAATATAGGTTAGTAGACAGTTAAAGATATAGAAAGTTTAGGTGTACTGTATTAAAACTACTGGATTAAAATGAATGATGTTAATTAAATTAAATTTAAATATTACAATGATAATAATAATTATTATTGTGATATAATGTTAACTGTTTATAAAATAAAGTTTTCAAAAATTTATATTTTTCAAGAACATTACACACTTTTTTCTATTGTGATTACTTGGCTGATTTTAGGTGACAAACTTGGTTTTTTTTAATTTATTTGTTTTAAAAAATTTTTTTATAGTTTTAAAATTTAAAAACTATTTTATCAATTAACAAAAAAGTAACTTGTATTAAAGTTCTTTATAATACTAACATTATTTATTTAATTAAAATTATTACTATAATTTAAATATATCTACAAAAAACTTATTTTATGGTTTTCAGATAAATGAACTAAGTCATGTTACAATACCAGTTATGTTATTACCTGATGATTTCCGTGCTTATTCAAAAGTCAAAGTTGACAATCATTTATTTAATAAGTTACTATCTTAATATTTAATTTAAGTTTTGTTTATATTCTTGAGTTTAATTCTATTGTTACATTTATTTATTTTAGAGAAAACATGCCTAGCCACTTCAAAATCAAAGAATATTGCCCTTTGGTATTTCGTAATCTTAGGGAACGTTTTGGTATTGATGATTTGGATTATAAAGAATCAATGACAAGGTGTGTATTAATTTTTTTAAAAATTTAAAAAAGTAGTTGGTTAATAATTTGAATGGTAAAGAATTTGGATTTAAATTAAAAATAAATCATTAATTTGGTTTTCATATTCTATTTCGATAAGCCATAAATTATTGATAATGAATATTACCAATAAAAATTTTATATACCGGTGACTGAAAATTTATGTTAGTAAAATTTTGTTGAATATAAAAATATATGAAACTATTAATAGACTTGAATTATTTAAGTTTTCATGTATAAAAATCTTATCTAATCCAAATAGTAATTTTAAAATGTAATATTATAAAAACATATGTTGTAAGTATGACAATATGTAAATACAGTGAATTTTGTTATTCTTAATAATTAAATATAATTTGCGAATTGATCTCAAACTAAACTCATTGCTAAATTGTAACATGCTGTAAAAGAAGAGCAATCGAGGGTTGCTCTATGATATTATAAACAACACTTTCGATTAAGCAACGATACAGTTAATTGTATAAACTAAATAATAATTGAATAATACAATCTACTGGACACCTAGAGATGTTGTTCATCTAACAGGGAGCTGACTGCTACAAACTAATATTCGTTGGGTTATATCCTGTTATATTAAGTTAAGTTGTAAATATAGTAATGTGACAGTGATAATATGTATCTGAAGTGCTTGTGAGGATCATAAAGAGTAAACTGCAGTCTATATGTATTGTATTTGGCTGACAGCGAATATTTAAATTATTTATGTGTGCAGTTTGCCCTCCTCAGTATTGTTATGTGTTACTGTGTCAATGCCCTAATGTCAAGTTGGCGGTTTATGTTAATTATAGAAAAATGATTAAGCACTATATGTGATTGTATAAATGATATTTTAATTTTTTGAACCAAATAATATTATTCTTTATAAAAATTAAAAATTTTCAAAAGTTTCTGAAAAAATTAGTGTCTTATCCAAAATTGATGGCATTGTATGCCAAATGATGTATTACATACCAAAAATGATTTTTTTTTGTAAAAATCGCCTAAAATTCATTTTTACTGGTTGTTTGATATATGTTTTTCTTTCTGATTTCCTAATTTATAATGAGAAACTCTAATGAAATTACAAAAGCTTAGACCTAATTTCAAAACGGATTTGACTTAACATTGATGTCATTGATATTAATAAAGAGGAATGATTAATGGAAGAATGTTTATAAAATAAACAAAATAATAAAAATATGGTTTTTGGCTTTTCTAAAAAAAATTGTTTAATGGCGCTTACAAAATTTTGTATTGTAACTATCGCTAATGAACAATTATTAGTAGAATATAAATGTTACGGATAATTAAAAAAATTGAATTAAATTTATCTCCATAATCAATATGCAAAAAATAGTATGATTTATATCTTTCGTTGTCTTCTAGGATTTTCTGAGAAATCAAATTTTCAAAAATTATGTTATCAAATGTTATAATACTACAAATTTTTTTGAAAAATATGGATCTATAGTTTTTTATAATTACTATTGAATATGAATCTTGTATTAAGGTGTTTTTAACATTTAAATATTAAATAGCATCTTCTATAAATGTACAAGTGAAACTATTTTTGAAAATTTATTGTGTTTTTTAATACATTTTTTTTATAATAAAATACTATTTTTGAAATTTAATTAACAGTATTGTCCATTGGTTTTCTTAAAACTGGTATATATACTTTAAAAACTCAAGATAAATAATTAGTTTCAACTGATTAAGGTTTTAGGGAAAACAATTTTGACTTAAAGAATTTCAAGAATTAATTTGAGTGATTTTATGCATTTCTTACTATTTAACATACTTAAGTTCTCAATTGATCCCAATCAACAATACTAAATGTAATCACATTTTTATATTCAATTAAATATTTAATATATCAAAATCAATTGGTATTAAATATTACAGTTAGTTATTTTATTTATGAAGATAAATTACAGTAAAATTCAAAAATAATTTAATATAAATAAATTGTTAGATTTATTAAGTTTCTCTTCAATAATCAATGATTTTTCAATAGGTAAATATCTACTTTGCATTATTGAGGTTGTACTGTATTATTTCACCCACTTGTTTAAAATATCCTAAAAAAAAGTTTTTTATATTTGTATTTTAATTTTTCCAAATATTAATATTCTTACCAATGATATTAAATTATATAACCTCTTCTTCTTCTTTCTCGTCTTAATCCCAACTACTTAGGGTCGGCCACCCTTATCCTAAACTTCTACTTGACACGATCTCCTATATCATCTATGCTCACATCAGCTGTCCTCATATCGCATTGAATAGCATCCCTCCATCTCTTTTCTGGTCTTCCTCTAACTCTACTTCTCCTCATAACATGACCAAACCATTTAAGTCTATTTTCTCTCATCTTATCCACGATTGATGTTACATCTATACTCCCTCTTATATGCTCGTTCCATATTCTATCTTCTCTAGTCACTCCACTCATCCATCTAAGCATTCTCATCTCTGATACACTCATTCTCTGCTCTACTTTCTTATCAACCGCCCAGCACTCTGAACACCTACCTCATGTTCTCCTTTGTCAAACTCGTACTCTATATACTCTGTCTTCCATTTATTCTTAAACCCTTTTCTTCAAGAGCTAATCTCCACACCTCTAGTCCTTGATTAATTTCCTCCCTATTTTCTCCTATTAACACTTTATTGTCAGCAAACAACATGCACCACGGCACTTCTCCTTGTATTTATCTAGTAATTTCATCCATCACTACAGAGAATAAGTAAGGGCTTAAAGCAGAACTTTGGTGTACTCCTACTCTTACCCGAAAATCTTCTGTTACTCCTCTTACACTTTTTACCCTGGTACAAGTGCCATAATACATATTTTCTATTATATTAATGTACCTTTTCCTTTTCTCATTAATGTCCATTTTAAACCTCTCTCGGTACTCTATCATATGCTTTCTCCAAATCTATAAATACCATACAGAGCTTTTTCTTCTTTTCCCTAAACTTTTCTATTAGTTGCCTCACACAAAATACTGGCTCCATTGTTGACTTACCAGGCATAAATCCATACCCTCCATGTATTCTTTCATATCCTCTCCTCTCATTACCTACATGTCCATTCATATCTCTACCTATCACCGCATTCTCATTGCCAGGTATCCCTTGCATCACTTCATCCATCTCTCTCCAAAACACTTCCTTGTTTATTTCATCACATCCTACTTGTGGTGTATAGGTACACTCTATCATATGCTTTCTTCAAATCTTTAAATACTATACACAGCTTTTTCTTTTTTTCCCTAAACGTTTCTATTAGTTGCCTCACACAAAATACTGGCTCCATTGTTGACTTACCAGGCATAAATTCAAAGTGGTTTTTAGATACCGATGTATCATTTCTTTTTTTCTTATCTATTACCTTTTCCCAAATTTTCATACTATGACACATAAGCTTTATGCCTCTATAATTTCCACACTCCTGTATGTCATCTTTATCTTTAAATATCGGCACCACAATACTATTCCTCCATTCATTTGGAATTTTCCCTTCTAATAAGATTTTATTTAAAAGTTCTTTCAACGACCTTATGCCAACACCGCCTAATATTTTCCATACTTCTATCGGCACTTCATCTAGTCCTATTGTTTTATTCGTTTTACCGATGTCACAGCCTCCCATACCTCTTTCTCACTAATTAAATTTACCAGGCCCTCATTCAATGAGATATCCTTTAATATCTCTTTTGGGTACTCTTCATTCAGTAATTTTACAAAACACTCATTCCACCTTTTTTTCACATCATCATCGCATATTATTAGGAGAGTGCTTTATTATCAACACTTTTTATACACCTTATATGATAACCTTTAGATCTTTTCTCTCTTTTGAAAGTCTATAGATTTCTTTCTCACCTTCTTTTGTTCCTAGTCTATCATACAACTCATCATACCCCTTAAACTTCGCCTGATTTACTGCACACTTGGTTTCTTTGCACAAGCGTTTATACTCTATCCAATCTTCTCTTCTTTTGCTCTTCTGCCATACTTTGAATTGCTTTTTCTTACTTTCTATGATTTTTTATTCTACTCCTACTCTCATCAACAATCTCCTTTGCAGTATTCTTCACACAACTAGCAAATCTATTCCACACATTATTTATGTCTTCCTCCCCACTTTCTTCTCTTTTACCATCTTATTACCCTCTCATTAATATAACAAGTGGTGTATTGGTATTTAATGATATAATAAAATCTATTTGTTAGTTAAAGTTAAAAATGTTTAGCTGTTATAAATATTGTGAGAGATGATTACTGAAAATACTAAAATTCAGACATTTTTTTTTACTTTAAATAAGGTTTTGACTCTAATGTTTATTGGTCTTTGACTAATTTTACATAACAAATATAATATACATTTTAGATAATCTATTCAGTTTCTGCCAAGTTGATTAGTTATTTTTATTTTATGTATTACGATTTGTGGATAGTAGTGAGCTTTAGAGTAAATATTTGATTGAAACATTGTATGCAATAAAATTGTTTTTGTAATGTATTAAGATTTTCTGAGGAAAGCAGTTATTGTTGTCGTAAAGGCTTATGTAGATCTAATACTATGTATAATCGAAGATCAATGACGGCTCCTAATTTACAATTGGACACACTTAACTTAAGACCTAAGAAATTGAAAATTTATGGTTCTGTAAAAAGAAGGTACATATGAAATGAGGACTAACAAAACTAGTGTTCCCACTAATTTGCTTTATTTTAATTTGTTAACAATTTGATTAACTATTTATTTGTCTGATTTTTTTTTATTAAAAATAACTTATAAAACTGTTCATATAGTTAATAATCAGGAATAAGTCATGCTAGTTATTTTTATATTATTTTATAATTATAACTTATATTTCTTAGAATATAAAGTAACATATATATATATATTGGATTGTAAAATTTTCCCTCTTAACATTTCAAATTAAAAAAAACCAATAAAAGAAAGATTTATTTTATCTTTTCTTGTATATATAAATAAACTATTAATAACTGAATGAACATATGAGATAAATATGAATCATACAAAATGTTTATAGGTACTGTAAATATTGTCTCTTTATTTTACTAAGAATACAAGATCATAAATAATAATTTTAAGTATACTTTATGTAATATTAAAAAAAAATTAGAAAACTTTTTTTAGTATGTGAAAAATTTAAAATATAATACTAGTGTTTTAATTTTTAAATAATTATAAATTAATTATTTGTATTTTAAACGAGTAAACATTTTTAACATTTTTTTACTCGTTTATTATTTAGAACAAAATAAATGTTTTTTTTTTTTTTTCGGAATTTTAATTTCAAATTTAATAATTACACTAACTTGTTAGCTTCATCATTATTATATTTTCTATGTATTCTATCTAAAAACGTTTTGTTTTATTTTGATTTTGTTTGTAATATCACTTAAGCTGAAAATGAACCATTTAACTGTCAATGGCTTAATATATATTTATATATGTATAAACTTTGTTAAAACAGATCACAACCGGTTTCTGCAGATACAACTGGTAAAAGTAACTCAGGATTTTACTATTCTTATGACAAGTTGTTTATTATAAAAACATTAACAAGCGAAGAAGTTGAACGAATGCACTCGTTTTTAAAACATTATCATCCAGTAAGTTTTCTGTTAAATTTTCATTAATACATTTTTAAAAGTCAATTGATACAAATACTTTTTAATCATACAATGCACCATTGTAACCATTGTTTCTATCCTCCCAACTCTTTGAGATTGGTTCTTCCTTAACAACTTGTTGGAATTTTACATCCACTGTTAACCTGACGTAATTTTATTATGAGGGAACCAGTTAGGGGACAAAGTGTGTGTCACTGTTAAAGTTCCCATATGGTCAATTATCTGGGAATTAACAGTAAATAGTGCAGCTGAACATCAGCGCTATGGCAGCGACTGAATAATCTTCTGTGCCATACTAAGCCCCATATTTAATTATATAACTATAGATAAATATATAATTTTAAGGGTAAATTAATGTTTTATTTATATATTTATGTTGCATCACATTTAGAACTTCCACTATTTGAAATACCATAGTAATTTATAAGAATGTATGTACTAGATTTATTATTAATTGTTGCTTTTATTCTTTAAACTAATTAACTTAATTTGATAAAATATTATTATTGTAGTATATTGTTGAAAGGCATGGAAAAACATTACTCCCACAGTATTTAGGAATGTATCGTTTAACTGTTGATGGTGATGAACATTATGTTGTAGCCATGAGAAATGCATTTAGTAATCATTTGGCTACACATAAGTAAGTAATTTTTCAAGTATTCATTACAATTTGTAAACTTATTTACAAATTGTTAGTTGTATTATATAACTAAAACCAGTAGATTAGGGTGATCTAAAAATATAATATTTATTTAATTAAAATTTTTCGACTGTATCTTAATAGTTCATTTAATTCAAAAAATACTATAGAAATTTGATCTAGCAGAAAAAATGTCCCTACTTTGCAAGTAGCAAGTAGTGTTTATGTCAAAATCAGGTTTTCTGAGTATTCTTATTGAAAAATGTTATAAGTATTGTATTAAAAATAATTAAAATAATTTTCAATAAATGATGAACGAACTAAATAACATTTGTTGAAAATAAGAGTCTTTAGTATTTTTTAACTTAAAAGAACCAACTATAAAGATTTGGTCAAAAAGTTGAAATAAAATGAAAAATGTGTAGACATAAAGGTGTCCCACAAGTTCTAACGTTTCTTATAACTTTTGATCTAATTATAATTTTGTTTACATTATTTTGGACGACTGGCAGCGTCGTCTTAGCAATATACAGAAACGTATATTATTAGCGAGGTGCTGCAATTGTGTGTGTGTGGGTACGGTTCGGCTGCAATCTTATGTACAGCTTTTGGACGACCACCAGTGTTGTCCAACCTGTAAAATATTAGTATATTACTATTAAGGGTAATTTATTTTTAAAATTAACTGATTGTCGTTATCGATTGCTAATATAGTATAATTGCTATTATTATTATTTTCATTTCTAATTTCTACTGCAACCATAAAAATAATAATATGTGTTTTATTTTATTATATTTAATTTGACAATTTTTTATAGCTATGATTAGCGGTATTATATTTAAAGTCACATCCCCACCACTAGCACCTACGAGCCGCCATTGATTATGGCATAGTTTGTCATCCTAATTAAATCTATTTAATGATCGGACTATACAGGATGATATTTTTATCATAGCCCACTCAATTACTTATAGAATTATTATAATTTAAACATTTTCTTTTTTGGTTACCTTTAGTTACATATTATTCTTTAATTATTAGCTATGTAATACTTTTTAAGTTCATCCCTTGTGCCTTGTAAGGGAGTCAACTTTATTTTTTCAAATGGGAACACATATTTTTAATCTAATTAATTGTTTGAGTTTTCAATTTAATGGTAAATAGCATTTGAATTTTCATAAAACTTTATTTGTATATTAGATATAAAAATTTAAAGTTCCAAATTTTTGAATTAATATACATGTAAAATACACAAATGATTACAAATACAGGTAGCTATATTGTTTTTGATGACATCGCTATCACAATCACAGAGTGTTTGTGGTCAATTATGACTACCAATAGGTATACTTTCTGTATTGACAGTTGGTGTATTTATAAACTCATAACAATGTGCCTCATTACCCTTGATAATAAATACTGCATTTTATTTACCCTCCTTTATATTTTTAAAAATGAATGGTTATTGTAATAGGGACAAATAAAAAAAACAATATATTTTTATGCGGTGGTAAATTAGACTTTTAAAATTCAATAAATAACCTAAATAAATACCTATAAATCCAAATACATTTTTCTAATAGTTAGTAAATAACTTAAAAATGTCAAATTAGTACTTGTCCACTTTAAAGAAATCATCTAAATTAATTCATTACTGTTTACTCAAGCTTTTGTTACTTTACTATATATAATGTTTTTATGTGTAATCTTATTATAAAGTTTTAAATAATGGTAAATATTAATTTATCTATATAGGAAATTTGATCTCAAAGGTTCTACTGTTGATAGAGAAGCTTCTGATAAGGAGAAAGAAAAAGACTTGCCAACCTACAAAGATAATGATTTTGTTAAAGAACGTACAAAAATATATATCGGTGATGAAGCTAAAGATAAACTTTTAGAAACTTTAGGAGCAGATGTTGATGTTAGTATTGTTATTAAATATTTTAAACAATTGTAATGTTAAAGTTTTTTTTAAATAAATATTTTGTGTATTAAGTTTTATTGTATAATTATATAGATATTATTTAAAATTTTATTCTTTAAATATATTTTATTAAAGTTCATTATTATTTTTTTTTACAAATAATTAATTAAAACATTTTAATTATTTTATTGTTTTGTAGTTTTTGACTGGTTTACATTTAATGGACTATAGTTTATTACTTGGTATACATGACTGTACTCGAGCTGAACGTGAAAGGGAAGAGGCAATTGCTAGTGGTACTGGAGATGTAGATGCAGAAGGAGAAGATGATGAAGATGCTGAAGATAGTGAAGGAGCTGGAAATACAGTGACATGGGCTAATACTCCTCCAGATTCTCCACATAGCTTATTAGCTCGTGAAACTAGTTTATGTACATATGACACAGCTGCCATTATACCTGAACTTGATATTTATGCTATACCAAGCAGTGAAGGTTTGATAAACCATTTTTATAATTATTACAATTTAACTTTTTATTGATTTTTTAAAACTTAATGTACATATGAGTATTGTTTGTTCGCTTCATTGTAAGGGTTTTTTATTATATTCAGTTTTTCATCTAATTTTTTTAACGCTTACAATAGTTTTACTATTTTTTTTTTTATAAAATATAATGTAACATATGATTGACCAGTATTTATTTAATAATCAAAGATATTTTTAAATTTCAATTTCAAATTAAACTGTTTTATTGTACATTAAAGTGAATTTTTTTTTTAATTCATTTTTTGTTCTTTAATGGTCAAATAAATGAAGTTAATTTTTAAGCATTGATGTTTATGTTTGACTGATAATAATGTATGTTTAAAATTTTAATGGATTTATTCATTATATTGTTATGAAGGTGCACCAGTTCGAGAAATTTACTTTATTGCATTGATTGATGTACTTACACATTATGGCGTGAAAAAACAGGCTGCTAAAGCTGCTAAAACAGTGAAATATGGATCAAATGTGGATGGCATTTCAACTTGCGATCCTGAACAATATGGCAAACGTTTCATTGAATTCTTATCAAAAGCCATTGAATAAAATATTTTAAAATAATTTCTTCCATTAAAAAATAAAATAAAAACTAAGTATATAGTATTATTAAATTTTATTCTTAATTTAAATACTAGATTGTTGTTGTATACAATAATTCTGCTTTTTCTAAAAACACTATTATAAATGTAAAAGATTGTATTTTACTTTTTAAATAATTTTTTTTTTTTTAGAGTTTAATAACTGCTGTATTTTTGTTTTTATATTATTATTATAACTTATTGTGTGGCCAAAAGTTAAAACACTATTATTTTATAGTTACCTTAATATTTAAGATTAAGTTCTTTGAAAAAAAAAAATAGTTTAGAATAGCACAAATTACATAATGTAATGCTTTCAAATATTATATGTTTTTATTTACTGTGGAAAATATTTGTCAGTACAAAAAACTATAATCCTTGAAATATATAAAACTATAACAAAAGTAAAAATATCCTAATTAATACTTTTTTATTGCTTCTTGTACATGTAGCTGTTTGTGAGACCCATCACAAAAAGGTCTGTGTTTTGTTTGCTTACAATTGCATAACCAATATTCTTTAGTTTCGGTAACTTGTAATTTTACTGGTTTCATAGTGATCTTAAGTTTTTGATTTTTGTGAGTACCATCACAAAATGGCTGTAGAACAAAAAAAAATTGATTACTTATAGTAAAACAAAAATTTCTATTTCAATAAGCTACTTGAGAATGGCTCATGCCACAAGAACACCAATTGTAAGTCTTGTCTTTATCTAAAGTAATTTTGAATGGACGTTTATCATAAATATTCCCTAATTGAGCCTGTTTTGAAGCTGTATGATAGTCTTCCAATACATTTTTGGGTAAAATGTCATTAATTATCTTAGAATACGTTCTCTAAGAAAAAAAAAGTAATTAATTAGCAATTCTTAAAAACAAATAAAGTAACTTACAAAGTTAAAAAAAAAATTAAGTTTCTGTGACGATTTACTTAGATTAAAAAGCATGGTTAAAAATTTATGATTGACAAATAATAAACATAAAATCTATTTCAACGACTTGAAGATAGGATTCTGTTTTATAGAATATGGGAGTATAAAAATAAAATCATTGATTAGATATATGTGCATCTTATCATTAACGAACATATGTAGTGATAAACTAAGATTATGTTATGAACATAGGAACAAAAGTACTGTCAGCTAATGATATTTTATGTCAGTGACCTTATTGAGTTCCTTACAACACAGTCGATAGGCCCAGCTTGTAAAAAACATCTGTGAAATGAGCTCTGATCAGTGTTGAGTTCGTAGTTCCAGTCCTATGTTTCATTTGTATCCATCGTATCTTTTTGTTTATAATTGAAAGTCCTAGTTAAGTTATTTTATCTGAGATAATTATCAAATTTGCGTTGATATTTACTTACTTTTAAACCTTTTTATTTTATACAATTAACTGGTTTTAATCTATAAAAAGGAAAATATAAACCTCGGCAAGAGGAGAAAATAAAGAAATATGAGCGATTTAACTCCCGAAGAGGTTTTTTTCTTTATCATATATTATTTAAAATTGACCATGTCAATAAAGTTTTAAATTTTGTTGTTAGCTTTATGAGTTTTATTTGTGTTTGAATATATTAACTGATTATTCTTATAGTAATTTCCCATAAAATGCTTAGTCATTCTTTGTCATTGTTTTAGGTGAGACGACGTCGGTTGGCTCGCTTAGGCGCAGCAAATGCAGTAGATGCATCTATGCCACCACCATCAAGTACATCAACAAATTCACAGTTAATTCCTCAATGTAATAAATTTGAAATATTTTAGACTTTTAACTTTTGACTTAATTGACAGGATTTTTTTAGTGAATCTCTTCAACGCAGAATCGAAAGACACTTTTGTGGAACAAACGGACAAATCCACAAAAACAAAAGATATGCCAATGGATGTTGATGATAGTGATTCTGATGTTAAATCAAATAAACATGTAGTATCTCCTGTCAAGCCTCCAGGTTCTACCTCTTTAATTCCATCTGAAGAAGATTCTGGTTTTGAAAATATGGATGTTGATGAACCAAAAGAACCTAAACTACCAATAGAACCTTTTAAAAAGAAAAGACCTATAGAAATTGTAAGATATAATGCAATAGGAATTTATTATTTTTACTTAAATTGTGTGTTTTATTCCTTAGCTTAATAATAAAGAAAGTATAGAAGATATTTGTCAAACAGTAGCAATTAGAGTGTTAGATGTGTCTTGGACAGAGCCAAATAATTTAAATATGTTTTTACCAGACACAGCGTCTATTGTAAAAGAACGAGATGATAATTTTGAACCATATGATTTACAAGTAAGTAATAATACTTAATATTTTTAATCAAATAAGTTTCATTGACAATTTTATATTCAAGGACCTCATAAGCTTAGCTATTCAAGAAGCATTGTGTTTGGTAGTTAAAAAAGATAAATTGACTGAAGGTAGTGAACAACCTGAAAAGACAACAACTTCAGCTGCTTTAAAGTTTTTGTTTGATTGCTACAGTCGTATTGCAGTTGAAGAACGACAATATCCAAAAGTAAAATCTCTTTTTATAATTATTTATATTTTGAATAATGTAATTTTTTTATAATTGAATATATAGAGAAGTAGTTCACCTCCAGTTTGTTCATTATTACAAAATATCCGTGCACAATGTGTTTCACATTCAATAATGTTATTGACTAACACTTGTATTTTGGATGATAAAGAAAGTGCTAGAATTTTAGAACCACTTCATTCACCCCTTACAGAATTCCTTTTACAAGGTACATTACCAAGAGGATTTTTAAATGAGTTATTCAACCGTACAGCTTTGAAACTTACAACATTTAAACAAGTACCAACTATTACTTAAACAATTTCGAAAATTATGTAATCATCAAATGTATACTTAGGTTTTTAGTCCATTACTTCAAAATTTGTATCGTATAATGCAAACTGCTAGTTTTGTTGGTTCTACTCATCGAAGACCTATAGAAATTTTAAATGAGCTTACTTCTTTAGCATTTTATTCTGTAAAAAACAATTTACCGGTGTGTTCTTTAATTGTACAATTGGTATGTATCAAAAAAATTCATTTTGGGATAAAGTTATTATCTTATGTAATTTTTTATATTTTATCAGCCTCAATTTTTACCAAAACGGATTACTCAAAATGGTGGTCGAGAGCTATCTTTTACATCATATTTAGGTCCATTTCTTTCTGTATCTTTATTTGCTGAAGATGACCCCAAAGTAATTGATAAGCTATTGAATTTTAATACATTATCAGATAAGTCAGGTTTAATTGGAACTCTACGACAAGAAATGCAAACAACTAGAGTATGTATTTATTATAGTTCTTTAGAACTAACATTTTAAGTATAATTATTTTAAAAATAAATATATGCTATGAGTTAATATGTGTACTGTAATGTGAGATAAATATAATTTGAAAACAGTATTTTGAGATTAAAATTGAGACTAAAATACAAATGTTATAGTTTTCAATATGTTTCTTTCATATGCATAGTGTGATATGCCAACAAAATAAATATTTATATAAGTAAATTTATATTTAAAATTTTATTTTTAAGGCTGAATTAAACAAAATAATGTATAATTTGATGGTTAATCTGAGTTCACGTGAAGCTACACTGACATATGTTACTAAAATGTTAGTATACAATGAAAAACGATGTAAAATGCGAGTAGATGAAAGAACAATAGCTGGTGATGGATTCATGTTAAATTTACTGACTACTTTGCAAGAGCTTTCATTAAAAGTGAGTTAATTTAGAATTACAAAAGTAAATTAGACTGAGATAAAATCTCACCATTGAGTCTTACTAATAATATTGCCATAATATGAAGTAAACATTTATGGTTTTACTTAAATATATTTATCTACTTGGGTTGACCGTTGGCATTATATGTTCATTACTTTAGCTATGTAAATGTAGTGTTGACCATAAACTAAAATCCCCAGTAATAAGTAACACGTAAAAGATATGGAAAACATAATTTTAATTATATTGAAATTTCCTGTGAAATTAGAAATAAATTAATAATAATATCATTTTAAAAAATAAAAATTTTCATAAGATAAAACTTTTTGATATTTTTTCTTGGTTTAGTTTTAATGTTTTCAAAGTGTTTATATTTAAGTTGAAAAGATTTATTTCTATCAATTAAATGTTTAGAATAATATTTGAAATTGTTATTATTACTTTATACTATTTGTATAGATTTTAAAACAATTTTTTGTAAAATAATTGTTTTATAAATAATATTTTGAACTAATTGTTGTTTCTTAAATAACCGATAAGGTTGTTATGTGATCATAAAAGTGATAATATTTTTTTTTATTACGTATTAAACTTTTGAAAAATAAAATACAAATTTTTATATTACTAAATATAGTAAACATAATTAGTTCATTATACCTCAATAAATAATATAAATTAAAAGAGTTTTATAAAATTCACAAATGTAATTGTAATATTAATTAAATTATAAAAAAAAATTAGTCACTATAATTCTACGTTGTATAGAATTTTTAGCTTCGATGTGAAGCTGAGAAGGTATTCATTTTACTATGATGTGTTTTTTTTTTTGTGTTTGTTACCACTTTTTTTCAGCTCTCACTGCACCAATTTTTTTCAACAAAACGTCAAAAGAACACAAATCTTATCTAGTCAAAGACATTACCCTCAAAAATTGAAAAAATTTCCATTGTTCCCCTTAAATGTGGGAAACCTCCAAAATAATTACAAATTTAAAAATCGCTAATTTTCGAAATTTTTTCAATTTTTTTTACTTAAAATTGCCATAAAATTTTTAAAAATAACCGTATCAATATAATTTTTTTATATATGTTTGATGTTTTTACCTATCATTTGGTATATTTTTTTTATAAATTTGACCCTTTACATGCCCACAGGGGGGGATTCAAAACAACAACTTTTGAAAGTGTTCCGGAAATACTGACACTTTTATATATATCTTAAATTAAAGCTAATGTAATATACTTTATTATGGAAAAAAAAATTTCGGACTTTATTTTTTCTTCATGGTAAAAATAGCTACCGTATTCAAAAATATGCTATTTTTGTGTTAAAATTCTTGGTTTTGTATTTTATTTTATTATAAGGGGATTACACTGATTTTCATAAATATTATATCAATTTAATTGACATAGTATAAAAAGTTAAACATATTTAAATTTTTTTGTTTCTTTGAAGTCGAGAAAAATAACTTTAAAATTTGAACTAGCTAAATTTCCATTTTTTATTAAGTGACGAATGAGACGGTAACACTTGGGTCATTCATGCCTGTGGCACTAAATTTTTCCTTAATTCTTTTTGAGTTAGAAAAAAATGTTTAACACGTTTGATTTTTATCTCATTTAGATTCAATAACTTCAATAAATATCAAGGATCCCATTACTGTAGTCTCCTCTCGTGAGAAGAAATTCATATTAATATTATTTTACTATGTGATTTTTTTTTTGTAGATATCATTTATTTTCTCAGCTCTCACTTGACCTACTTTTTTGACAATTTTTTTTTTTTTAATTAAACACTATCTACAGATTTGCATCAAAGTGTTTTTTATGATAGTGATTTTAATCACTGTCAGATATCATCTATACTGGACCCAACTATGCCACTATCCCACTGTGCTGGGTTTTTTTATTTCTATTGGTAGACATTTGATAAAGTATTGTAGAAAGTAGATAATTTAAGTTAATTTACTAGGGGGTTTTATATATTATGACTATTAAAACAAAATTTTGATTTTGGTGGATTAAACATACGATTATTTCCATATTAGAGTGCTAATCAATTGAGTATTTAATCATTGGTGTAGCTTTTATCATAGAGAAATCAAATGAAGTTACAGTAATTAAACATTTTTATTCAAACAATTAATGTTCTGATTAATTTTTCCATAAATAATAAATAAATATTTTTCTCTCCACTATAAGCGTTCTAGTTACGTACAAATACCACTTCAACAATGATAACACTGTGTGCACCAATCTGATTAGATAACTATAATATACTAACCAAATATAGTAAGGTACTCATTTTGTCTGAAACCATTAATAATTTTTAATTTTTGTAAAGAGTAAAATATTAGCTTTAAAAAACTAAAAATATGTATATAAATAATATTTTTTTCATTCGTTTAGGCTTTAATTTAATTAAATCAATTAAATTAAATTAATTGAGAACCCGTATTTTTAGTTAAATGATATAATAGGGAAAAAAAATTTCAACAGTCATTCATTTGTTATAAGCATTTTAATACATAAAGTGGGTTTGTAGGTGCGTGGGTACAGTATGTATTAGTATTGTGCATTTTTACTGCATAATAATTAACTACTAAATGTACCCACTCTATGCATTAAAATACTTGTAACAGATGAACAGTTCATAAGATAAAAAAAGTTATAAGAACAAAATTGTTTGTAATTTTTTCTTTATAATAATATTAAGTTATAAATTAGGGTTCTCATTTAAGAAAATTTAAGGGTTTTAATGTTGAAGAAGAAAAAATTAATTACATATTATTATAGAGCTTTTGAACGTAATACTATTTCTCTTCAAATTTTAAAATGATTTATAGTTTCTAATAAAATGGATGTTTTACTAGATTTTGATCACCTGTATATGTGATCAAATTGAAAGTCTTATATAAACATAGACTATCAGTTTAAAATATCTTATTCACAAAAGCAAGGAATAAGATAGAAGTAATATATATTTCTGAGTGCATGGACAGTTCTTGCCCACCTCTATAACAGCTAAAATTAAAACTAATAATATATATTTTATTATAATTGCAATTAATTAGACTTTCAATTTTTACATTATTTTATTAAAATTTGTTTATTTGTGAATTCCTGATTCTTCAATTTTATTTAAAATAAATTAATTTGTTTAGATAAAAATGGAAAAAGTTGATCCATTGTATATTTTCAATGCAAAACATTCAATGATTGACATTTCTTCAGATACTAGGTTAAAATTTACATCACAAGAATATTCTGATTGGCTTGTGGAAACATGTATGTGAAATTATTGTATAATTTACTTAATTTACATTTAGCAGTAACCCTTAAGTTAATAATTTGGCTTATTTTTACAGCAAAATCATTCAAGGAGGTAAAATTTTCAACTCGTTGTTGGTTTTTAACATTGTATTGCCATCATATAGCTTTAATACCAGCTTTTAATAAACATACAAGACGGTACAGAACTGTAAGAGATCTACAAAAATTGGTAAAATTATTATAAATTACTAAAATTTGATTTAAATCTATTAAATGTTATGTTTACTGATGATTTTTATAAAATTATTTTTCTATGATATACTAAATATGCTATTGTACATTATAGATTGAAGAAATTACTAATTCAGAATCAGAATGGAAAAGTAATCCTACACTTGCAGCAAGAAATAAAGATTTATTGAAAAAGTGGAAAGCTCAACTTAGAGTAATAAATTTTTACCTAATTGACTAATTGACCTATTAAACAAGAACCTATTAAACAGTTTTTGATGCTATTTATTTTATAGAAATTAGTAAAAAGCAAATCATGTGGTGAACTAGTATTATATGATCCTCTTCTAATAACTAGATGCATTGTATTTTATTCAACTGTTGCTGAATTCATGTTAACTCTTCTTCAAGGTACTCCATATATTCCTAAGTCTGATATTGTATTTCCAGCTGAAATTCCAGATATATTAGCAGCCATACCAGAGTGGTTTGTTGAAGACATTGCAGATTTCTTATTATTTATTTTGCAGTAAGATATTTTTATCCCTGTAAAATGAAACTTGATAGGAGGTATATGTTATTAATTTCAATTTTTTGTTTTAGATATGCACCCAAAGCTATTGATTTTAAATTTTTCGATACATTGTTGACTTGGATATTAGTTTGTATTTGTTCACCTGCAGCATTCAAAAATCCATACTTAATAGCCAAATTAATAGAAGTGCTTTTTGTTTTAAATCCTAGTATTCAACCTAAAACTGAAGTATTAAATAATATGATGATGGGACATGCCCTTTCAATTTCACATCTTCCTTCAGCTCTTATGAAATTTTACACTGGTAATATATATATTTATATAAATTATATAATATATTTTTTTATTATATTTAAAATATCAATGTCTAAGTGTTATTTGTGATATATTATAAAAATATTGAAAAAATTATTATATCCATATTACAAAATATATATCTATAATATTGTGCAAAAGTGTATGTTGAGATAAGATTTTATTTGAAAATAGTATTTACATTCTATGATCCAATATTCTAATTAATATTTAATTATAAATTAAAATTATTAGATATTAGTTAAAATATTGTTATAATTATATATACAGAGTGATTCACTTATCACGAACCACTTAATTAATGGAAAAATAACACATCTTTACAGTCTTATCAGTACTTTTTCATACTCTGAGTACTATAGTGCAGTAACTTAAAATTTGTCAATTTTGGGTTATTTGTTTGTTATATGTTGTATGTATATGTTTTCTTATGGTAAAAAAACATCCTCACAAAGCAATAGCTTATTATATTATATCTTTATAATTAAATGCATAATACTAAATATTATTGTTTATTAATAATAAAAAATTATCAATTCGTTCCATGCTTTAGTATGTTATATTTTGAGTTACTACACTAGAATATTCACAGTGTGAAAAAGGAGAGATAAGACTGCGAAGATGTGTTATTTTTTCCAATTAACCTTATTGAAATCAAATTTTTGTTATTTACCAGTTAATTAAAAAGGTTATTAAAAAAAAAAACTTATTCTCTATTATGTTGGTTCTTTGTTATTGGATAATAATTTTAAAAAAATGTTTGATTACCCTAAGTAGATTAAAATTTAATTTTTTTAAATAAATATAATGGGAACCACTTATTGATTAAAGAAAGAACTAATTGATTTTATTTTAGTTATTGAGTCTACTGGAGCTAGTTCAGAATTTTATGATAAATTTACCATTCGTTATCATATAAGTTTAATTCTTAAAAGTATGTGGGAAAGTCCATTACATAGACGTGCAGTTATTGCTGAATCAAAGTAAGTTATTGATTACTATAGTAAAAATTGATCCTTTGTAGCTAATATTATTTAAATCAAAAATATATTTAAAATATTAGTTTAAAATTAAAAAATATTTAATTAAAAAAGCCACACAAATTGTCATCTTAATGATAATAATATAATATATATTCCTATTTTCAGTATTAAACACATACTATTTGTATATAAACATAAATATAATGTGTTTAGCACATATATTAATAAAAGATATTATAATATTTCAATTTTATATTAATAGAAGTGGCATACAATTTGTGAAATTTGTAAACATGTTGATTAATGATACTACTTTCTTACTGGATGAGAGTTTGGAGTCCTTAAAACGTATTCATGAAGTCCAAGAACAAATGGCTGACACTGCCATATGGAGTAGTTTATCTGATGAAACTCAGCAAACTCGAACACGTCAGTTGTCTGCTGATGAACGACAATGCAGGTATATGACATCTTAAAATTAATAATTGTTTATTAAACTAATATTAAAATATATTTTTTAGGTCTTATTTAACATTAGCCCAGGAAACAGTAGATATGTTTCACTATCTTACGATGGATATAAAAGAACCATTTATGAGATCTGAATTAGTGACTCGATTGACAGCTATGTTAAATTTCAATTTACAACAATTATGTGGTCCGAAGTGTAAAAATTTAAAAGTCAAATCTCCTGAAAATTATGGTTGGGAACCAAGACGTTTACTTAAACAACTAATTGATATTTACTTACACTTAGATTGTGATCAGTTTGCTGCAGCTATTGCAGCTGATGAAGTAACGTATTTATATATTTTATAATACAACTTATAAAAAGTTAGATCTAACTATTTTGCTTTGTGGATTTCTTATTCATTAATAGAGCTTGTAAATTTATGTATTTGTATTTTTTTTTCTACTTAGAAAAACATGCTAAGTGATTTTAGCTCAAGTCTATAATTATATAATTTAATCATGAAAAAACCTAACATAAAATTATTTTTAATATAAAATATATCTCCAGCTTGGTGTGATTACTCAATAACTGTTACTGTTGGATCATATGAATAATCAACCAATTTTTTGTAATTTTTGACTAAGGGTTCTTTAGACTTTAAGAAGTCTGAAAACTTTTTAGTATACATACAAATATTTATTTATTCATGAATCATTTAGTAGAATTACTAGAATGATAAAATTTTTAGGCTCTGAATTTATGCTGTGTATGTTAATGTGATCAATATTAGTGTATATTTTTTTCACTCGTGTTATTTTTACATCTTTAAATGAATATATCTTTTCTAATATAAAGACACCATTTTGAAATTTTGTATATTTGTTAACATCAATTAATAATGATTTTTTTAAAAATATCTTGTGGTGTTTCCCACTTAGTCAACAACATCATTATATTGAAATCAATCAACTAAAAAAAAATTTTATTTTTGATTTTTCACATAATTAATTCTATAAAAAAGTATAATAAAAATTAATCATCTGTCACTAATATTATTTAAAATTAAAACATTATTAAAAATATTAAATTTAAAAAGCCACAAAAAATTAATAAAACAAATCGAGGATACATAATTACTAAAAACACCAACATGGGAAAAAACTATATACTTTATAATACCCCTAGGGACCTTATCACCTAATGTCATTATCACTAAGTAATATTACATTTTGCCAGTTTATATAAGTTAAAAATGAATTTTATAGTGAGTCAAAATCCTAATTCATTAAATTGTTCTTATTTTTAAACATTTATATTGCTTTTCTTTTATTGAGTTATTTTTAATAATATTTAAGTTATTAATTAGTTTTATGGTTTTAATGAATGATTATGGGCCAATAAATGTTCAGCCATAGTATATTCATCAACTTCTTAATTTATAATGTTTTCTAAGTGTTCTTGAAACCTGACCCCTATATTTTTTTTTGTTTGTCTTGCGTATCATTTATTAATAATGGTAATATTATTCCCAAAATATGTATCTGTAATTTTTTTGTGGCTTTTGGGATAAATTTTTTTTTAGTTTCTAATTAATATTTTTATTATAATTCTAATTTTAAATCTATAAAAATGGTTTAAAATTTTAATCCAAATTCAAAGATTATAAACTTGTTTTTAATATATTTGATTATAAAACTAATTTTATTTTATTTTGTAAATTGTTATAACCATCATGTGAGTTATACTTTTATGATTTAAAATTATTTTTCAATTTGCAAAATTGAATTTTTAACTTAAAAATTGTCTTATAATTGTTTACAATAATATAATTATAAATTAAATTATGACTATAGATGCAAAGTTGTGTAAAGTAGAACATGTAAATGTAAAGTTCTTTGAAAATTAGTCAATCAAATTTTTTATAGATGTTAAACAATTTTTTTTTATTACTCTATTCTAAAATAATCTAACTATTAATCTATTTAACTAAATAATTTTTGAATATTTATATTTTGAATTCTGGACTTATTTTTACTTGTCCAAAATCTGACTGCAATAGAAAAATGGTAATTTTGCTATTCTTAAATATTAAATAAAAAAAATCTATATTATATTTTTAGAGATCTTTTCGTATGGAATTGTTTGAAGATGCAGCGAATAGAATGGCCCGCGTTTTAAATTCTTCAAAATTGGAGGTGACACAATTTCAAAATTTAGCTGATAAAGCTAATGAAATTTCAATTCAAAATATTAAGAAAGAGGTTGATTTCAATGATGCACCTGAAGAATTTAGAGGTAAAGCTTTTAAAAATAGTTAAATTCTGGATTAATTAATAATCTTTCTTAAAAATCTTATGCCAAAATATTTTCAGACCCATTAATGGATACTTTGATGGATGATCCAGTTATTTTGCCAAGCAGTGGTAAGATTATGGATCGGCCAGTTATAATACGTCATTTATTAAACTCACAGACTGATCCATTTAACCGTCAACCCTTAACAGAAGATGATTTGACACCAGGTAAATGTGGTATTATTTTTATCTATTTAGTTTATTAAATAAAAAACCCAACCCAGCACAGGGGGGTCGCGGCACAGTGGTGACGTGGTATAGATGGATCAAGTATAATGATATCTGACAGTAATTAAAATCACTATAAAAAAAAAACGCTTCGATGCAAATCTTTAGATAGTGTTTAATTTTAAAAAATTGGTAGATTATTCCAAAAGCTACATGATCTGCTAGTTCCTTATTAATATCCTGATTAAGATAAAGTATGTCGAATGAAAATGGGATTATTAAAAAATATTATTTCTCATAAAAAAATTATGTTTGTCCATACACTTTTCAATATGTCATAGCATTATAAAGTTAAAAATGTAAAAAATAAAATTGAGAATTTTCACATAATAATAGCATTTGGTAGCAATTTTCACCATGAAGACAAAATAAAGTCCGAAATTTTTTTTCTGCATAATAAAGTAAATTACATTAGCTTTAATTTAAGATATATATAAAAGTGTCAGACTTTCCGGAACATTTTCAAAAGTTAAGTTGAAAAAATTAATTCTTTGTGAAAAAGTTGTCATTTTAAATCCCCCCCTGTGGTCAAGTAAAGGGTCACATATAAAAAAAATATACCAAATGAAAGATAATGATATCATGCATCTATATAAAAAAAGAATTATATTGATTCGGTTATTTTTAAAAATTTTATGGCAATTTTAAGTAAACAAAACCCAGCACGGGGGGTCGAGGCACAGTGGTGCCGTGGTATAGTTGGATCAAGTATAATGATATCTGGCAGTGATTAAAATCACTATCAAAAATAAACGCTTTGATGCAAATCTTTAGATAGTGTTTAATTTTAAAAAAATTGGTGTTTTATTCCAAAAGCTTCATGATCTGCTGGTTCCTTATTAATATCTCGATTAAGACAAAGTATGTCGAATGAAAAAGGGTTTATTAAAAAATATTATTTCTCATAAAAAAATTGTGTGGATCCATACACTTTTCAATAAGTTATAGCATTATAAAGTTAAATATAATATAAAAANCATTTTTTAAAAAGTTATAGCACTTTAAAGTAAAAAATGTAAATTATAAAATCGAAAATTTTCACACAAAAATTGCATTCGGTAGCCGTTTTCACCATGAAGACAAGTCCAGAGGTCAAATTTTTTTTTTTTTAATTAAAGTATATTATATTAGCTTTAATTTAAGATATATATAAAAGTGTCAGACCTTCCGGAACACTTTCAAAAGTTAAGTTGAAAAAGTTATACTTTATATATGCATTTTTTATATTTTAAGCCCCCCTATATATAGGGAAATGGTCTGATTTAAAGAAAAAGTATGTCCAATGAAAGATGTATATAAATACTACTTCACATGAAAAAATTATATTGATCAATACACTTTTCAATAAATTATAGCATTATAAATTTAAAAATGTAAAAAATAAAATTGAGAATTTTCACACAATAATAGCATTTGGTAGCCATTTTCACCGTGAAGACAAAATAAAGTCCGAAATTTTTTTTTTACATAATAAAGTAGATTACATTAGCTTTAATTTAACATATTATATAGAAAAGTGTCAGACTTTCCAAAACACTTTCAAAATTTAAGTTGAAAAAGTTAATTTTTTGTGAAAAAGTTGTCTTTTTAAATCCCCCCCTGTGGGCAGATAAAGGGTCAAATTTACAAAAAAAATATATCAAATGATAGGTAAAGACATCAAGCATCTATATAAAAAAAAATTATATTGATATGTTCATTTTTGAAAAAGTTACGGCAGTTTTTAGTAAAAAAAATTGAAAAAATTTCGAAAATTAGCGATTTTTAAATTTGTAATTTTTTTGGAGGTTTCCCCCATTTACGGGGAACGAGGGAAATTTTTTCAATTTTGAAGGGTAATGTCTTCGACTAGATACGATTTGTGATCTTTTGACGTATCGTTGAAAGAAATCCGTTCGGTGAGAGCTGAGAAAAAGTGGTAAGACACAAAAAAAAAAAAAAAAAGCACATCATAGTAAAACCAATACCTTTTCAGCTTCGCATCGAAGCTAAACAAACCCAAATAATGTGGATTTTATAATATTTTATGATAAAAATATATTTTACAGTAACTCAATAAAAATTTTTATTGTTTTAATAATAATATAAATATTTTAATTATATTTATTTATTTGGGATCTCATAGTTATTTCTGAAAAAAAAAAATAGTGCAAAATGTTTGAATCAAAAGTTATTAAAGATGTTAGAACATGGTTGGACACGGTATGATTAATAAACACCTTTATGAGTTTGAGGGGAGGGATGTAAAGTGCTATGAGGCTAAAGCCTCTCTTCCACATTGAGTTATTTTCTTATGACCTGCAAATTTTACTAATGAATGTAATCTTTAATAGTTCAATTTAGTTGGGTTATCAATATTTATTAAAAATAGACATGGAGTTATTTTAACTAAATAATTGTAATTGCATAATCTTTAATAAAATTTTACTTTTTGAAATAGTTATTGTGGTGAGTAATAGATTTTTTGATTTCATTACAGCTGAAGAGTTAAAACAAAAAATACAAAAATGGAAAATTGAAAAATTGGAAGAATTATCTCAATAATGAATAATTAGAATTCCAAAAAAATTGTTTATAATAGTAACATCAATTCAAACCTTAAAATTAAGTTTGAAATGAATTATAATTATAAATCTAATAAAATTGTGATACTTCATAAAAATGTGTTCTTGGCGTTTTTAAAGACTTGTAGTTTATTGATAAAAACTTTTTACACCTCTTGTTTTAATATTAGATATATATTTATTGATATAAGTTATTAATGTAAATGTATTCATTTATAAGATAAAACTTGATGACTATAGCCAATAAGTTAAAATTGGTATTATAATTATAAACAATTATTGTAATAAATAACACAAAAATTTTGTAAATTCATCCATAAGTATATTGTAATTTATAAAAAAATTTTGACAAATTTTCGTGTGAATTCGTTATTAAAAAATCCATACAAAATATGTTTAATGTACATAAGATAAATGTTCATATTGATTGAAACACATTGTACATATTTAAAAATATTTATCAACTAGTATAATTTTATACATTTATTATTATAGTACATTATTTTTTAACGGGATAATTCCACTACAGATAATAAAAAATTAACTAAAGATGACTAGTTCTTAGACTAAGACGTTATTACATATATATATATATATATAATACTTTATATAAATGTACAGACATAAGGTACACTTGTATATTATGTGTAGTTTACTTTTAAGTTAGCAGTCTTCGATTTAATGCTATAATACTACATCATTATTATTAATAAGTATACTATTTTAATATTTTATACAATATATTGTGATATGTTATTTTCAATAAAAGTTAATGTATAGTTTAATTATACATTTTTTGTACACATGTATATGGGTATCATTTATGTATTGTGTCGATATTTTAACAAAATTTCTATTATAAAATTTTAAGATTTTTGCAAAACGTAAAGTTTTTCTGAGTTAAATCAAGTAAAAACTAATGGTACCCAATGAAATGTTATCATGCACTTCAATATATATATATATATATTTTTAATTAAGCTTTATTTGTTTTTTGCGTTGAGAGGTATGTTGAAGAACTTTCAGATTTTTCAGGGACTGGAGGTACATTAGATTTTACCTACGATTAGAAAAAAAGATATTATTTTATCTTAGTTTTCAATTTAATAAATATTTACTTTAGGATCACCATCAAGAAAATATCCAATTTGGTGATACTCTTTTCCGGAACGAGGTTTGAGGGTTGTTTTAGTTGCAGGTCGACCAAATCTAAAAAAAATTGTTTGATTAAGTAAAATTAATACTCAGAAAATGTTGAAAATAAAAATACCTGAGATTTTCGTTGTTGGTGTCTGATGAACTGTGTGAAGATAATGATAATGTTTCAATGTAATCGCTCATATCTGAAGTGCAGCTACTTGTGCTTTGTGAATCCAAAAACGGAATTGCCGTTATACCTTCTGTATTTAAATTGTACCCTATCAGAAATGAATAAACAAATTACTACGTAGAAAAAAAATTAATATAGAATAAATATTTATAAATTTTTATTAATAAAAATTCTTTTGTTCTGAATGCGATATGAGGACAGCTGATGTGAGCGTAGATGATGTGGGAGATCGTGTTAAGTGGAAGTTTAGGATAAGGGTGGCCAACCCCAAGTAGTTGTGTTTAAGACGAGGAACAATAAGAAGAAGAAAAATTCTTTTGTCCATAGAACAAGAGCCTATTCGATCAACTTTTAGAGAATTTTTTTAGTGATTACTATAAACATTTCAAGTAATAAAATAACGCGTATAAAATGGGGCAATTTATATTTTTTTTGTTAATTATTTGAAGAGTGTAAATCTCATAATTATACTCTCTGAATCATAATTCGTCATAAAATGTTAGTTACAATTTTTCAGAAAAAAAAAACTATTAAAAATTAACTTGAGCAGTTCTCTGAGATCAAAGAATTGTTACATAAAGTGTAAATCTTAAAAAGAAAAAGTGAAATAGATAAATACGTCCGAAAGAGTAATTCGTATAATCAGAACATTTTAATTAGAAAACAGGTTAGTATTGCCTATTTCCGAGTAAACTACTAATGTCGTTGAAAACTCACCTTTTTCTTTTTTCATGCAAACGGGTACTTCGGCGCCAGCAGACGAGGATTTCATGGGTCCGGCAAATCTTTGAAATCTGAAACTTAGTTCTTTAAGTCTATCTGTTGATTTGGATCGCCTTGGAAGCGAACCGTGGACACATCCACCGGTCATAAGCGTGCTGTCTCGAGCTACATTGCGTCTGTGCCGCATGGTCGACATGGATGTGGTGAGTGGCAATTCGAATTCCGCGAAATCGGCTCCGCGGTACCTCAATGAACCAGTGGACACGCCTGAATCATTGGAACTGGACGAGTCCCGGTTGTTTTTACACGGTACGCTAGACGATCGTCTTATGTGAACTAAAACGGCGGCTTGTTGATCGTCTCTCGACACTCCACCGCTGGGGCACTTGGCGATCTGACTAGTCATACTGTCGGCGGATGATGTCCGGCCGCTGGACGGTTGATCAGTCGCCGATACATTCTGTTGTTCCTCGTCGTCATCGTCGTATCTATTGCTGTCGACCGTCGTAGACGACCCTGCTGAACTAGAGCGTCTTCGGGGTTCTTCTACTCGAGTAAGAGTCTTGTTTATCGGTGCACCGCCAACATTATATTCATTAAGACTCGGTATGCTAACCGACTTTTCAGCCAGACCCTTATTCAACACGTTTTTAAGCATGTCGCGTTGACCAGCAGCTGGCGACATATGCAAGTAACCGGGGAACAAGTTACGCTTAACTTCAATCATTCGTCCGTTAACCGGTTCCATTGTCATGTAATCACTGCCGGCACTACTACAACTTCCGTTTTCATCGCGTTCCATTGTTTGATGACCGCACTTGCTGCACTTGTTGTCATACATGGCTGCTACGGGTGCCATGCCGACCTTAGTCAACACGCTCTTGGCATTTTCGTAGTGACACAGCGATTCGCTAAATTCTAAGTTCATGTAGTTTTCAGCTGTTTTCCGATCAGCTGTCGTTGTCATCGTCATCGCAGATTGATCTTTGCCAGGTTCCAAGTTCATATAATTAGTACATGTGTCGGAGAGATCTGTGTGCTTCTTTTTCTTTGTAACGTCCACAGTGGCGTAAATGACAGTCTTTTGTCCTTGGCAATCCTGAAACATTTAATATTATCAAATTAATTAGATACTTGAAAACTGAAAATGTAGGAAATGAAAAAACTGCGACACAAAATAAATCAACAATATTTCAAACACTCATCAAACGCGTGTTACACATTAACATTGTTATGGATAATAATATTGTTATCATATAATTATCATGTTGTGGTGATTTAATACTTACCGGAGAGTAGTTGATCGATCGGAAACCATTGTTTGTATGATTCAAATTATTGCAAAGAGGCATTGCTTTGTAGTTATTTGACCAGCAACTAATGGACTTTTGGCACGGACATACAAAAACATTACAATTATCTTCTATTTGCGGTTTAGCCGTACTGGCTCTAAAAGTATAGAGAAAATTAGTAAAAAAATAAAAACTGAATTGATACAAAAGTTACTAGTTTTCTACTCACGCAGATTTTTTTTTGTGAACTGCTACTGGAGAGGGTGGAGTATCGTAGTTACCGTAGGGATTGACCTCTAAAACTGACTTAATGTTTCTAGGAGTGTCATAATATTCGTCTTGTATAGTCGATAAGTATGATGTATTGTGCTGTTTGGACATACAAATGATGTATAATTATAAGAATAAGAATATTACAATTAATTGCAATTTAACTAGTACCTTTAAGGCGACAGACTTTGGAGTGTCGTAATTATTGAGGTAGTATTGTTTTGGTTGTTGTAGTTGAGATTTATTGGTGGCAGAGGAACATCTACACGTACACGTTGAGTTCTCCGGTTGCGATGGTAATGGCATCGGAGCTTTTTTCACTGCAGTGTTGGTTTCCTGTTTCATATGAATTGGTTTTGGAGGTCTACTTGGTGTTATCGACGTACAAGTTTCCGGTTGACTTAATTATAATTATAAAAAATAAATTAACTACGTTAAAAAATATAAGCAATATTGTTTTTTAATGTACTCATTGGTTTTGGAAAAATATATTTGTATTGGTGTATTGTAGTTAAGAAACTTAAATAATTGTTTTCTATAAATAAATTATAGATATGTATAAGTTTTTTAACCTAAAACTGTTATAAAAGTTATAAAATTAAATTTAAAAACTTACCATTTATTGATTTTCTCATTTACGGTATTCGATGAAACTTTTCGAGGCACAGAATATTCAGTGCTACAAACGGAACCACTTCCCCCACTACTGCTGCTCTGTGATGATACATATCCACCACAACATTGATGACCATTGGTCATTTCTGGTAAATAGTTAACTCTCAATTAATATATTTATTTTAATTAAAATAGAAAATATCTATTTTAATTAACTGTTATACTATTAAAATTATATATACCAATTTAGCTTAATATCACCTAATGTTGATAATCAATTATGATAATAGTTAATTACAATTTATGATAAAAAAAAAAAAAAATGTTTTAAGCTATACTTAAAGTTGTACGTAAGAACAGAAATTCTATACATTTTAACTTAAAATCAAACTAATTTAAACTTTAATTATAGGAAACTCTTTTAAAGATATTTCTATAAATATTTTATGATATAAAAATAAAAAAAAAAAAATGAAAATTTTCAATTTTTCTTTTTGAAAATAATATTAGCATAAAAAACAACATTTTAACTATGAAAACATTTTGATTTTAGAATTAAAACAAATAAATATATAAAAATGTAGAGTAATGTGCGTAGGCAAAATGTCTTAACAGTTTTTACTGTTAAGACATTTTGCATTATAAGTGTAGTAGCACTGGGTCATCAGATGATTTTATATAAATTATTAAATAGTTAATGAAAATATTTCATATTATTATAATAATATTATTTCTAACCAATATCAAGATTTATTCACATTATTGAGTTTTCACATCGTTAGTAAATTCTATCGAAATTTTGCTTTTTGTATTCTCGGATTAAGTATATAAGGTGAGATATATCTTATACTAAATATTTAGTCATTAGTTAAAATAGTGTTATTTTATTTACTATTCTTAAATTTAAAAAAAACCCAGCACAGTGGGGTCGCGGCATAGTGGGGACGTTGCATAGTTGGGTCCAGTATAGATTTAATCTGACAGNCAAATATAATTATTTGTATACGTGTGATAACATTATATCCGAAAAAAATTTATATGGCAGTCTTTTGAACTTGCATAGTGACCAGTTATTATAATTTATAAATTTGTACATGTAAACAAAATTGTATTATTATGAACAAGAATATAAATTAGTATAATTAATTTTATTATGTTATTCAAGGGAATTATAAAAGTATAAAATTATATAAAAAAAAAATAATAATATAATATATTATAAAAAAAATTTTAAGTTTACTACATTAACTTGTCCATAATAAGTAAAAACATAGCCTACACAAATAAAACTGTTACACTTTGACTAGTTGAAATATAAAATAATTTTAGTATTAAAAATATGAATTTATTAAATTATTAATATTTTTTATAATAACTAAGAACTTATTGATTCAAAATAATTAATAAGAAAAAAATGAATTAAAAACAGATAATTTATATGATTAATTTTATTCCGTTTAAAAAATTTAATTATTTTACTGGTTTTATTTTTAAAATCCAGAACATAATCGAAATGCAATAAAATATAACTTATTTTGAAGTAAAATTTATGTTAGTGGATTAAGTATTTATCAAAACTAAAACATCATAGGTGAGATAAAACTTTGTTAGATTAAACCGCTTATAAAATTTTACTCACAATCTATTTATTTATTTTCTTAAATTACAATTTTTATGTTAATATTAATTTNGAAATGCAATAAAATATAACTTATTTTGAAGTAAAATTTATGTTAGTGGATTAAGTATTTATCAAAACTATAACATCATAGGTGAGATAAAACTTTTTTAGATTAAACCGCTTATAAAATTTTACTCACAATCTATTTATTTATTTTCTTAAATTACAATTTTTATGTTAATATTAATTTACTTACGCGTGGATATGTCATTATCCATAGTCCAGGCTGGGTTGAATCCAATACTACCTGGGGTGTTGGCCATAGTTGATGACCTGGATAATGCTCCTAATTTACTAATACAGCTAGCACATCGTTCTAAAGCTATTTCAGGAGTCCAAGTGCATTCCTGTTTAAGAATTGAACGATTCGTTAAGTATTTAACTGTGAGTTTGTAATTAAAGATTTTAATGAAATAATACCTGTGAGTTTGAGTGATCGGGGAAGTCACCGACAGAGGCTGTATCTCCAAAGTCAGAATTATCCAGTCGACTTTCGTTCGATGGCCAACATGAGTTGTCTTCGTTATTGCGGTCATGCGAATGTTGAATAAAAGAACATTGGTCTCCTCCATATTCTGAAGCTCTGGAGTCTAGTCGAGATAACAGACCTCCTCTTCTAGATGGACTTTCTAAAACTATAAAAAAGATATAATAGAATAAAAAGTATGTTTATGGTATTTCTCTATTTTATTAGTCATACCAGACATATTTCTTGTAAGGAATCGCTTTCTAGAGGCTAGTTTACTTTCAGCCGCTAGGTTCATACATCTAGTGATCTCGTCACCTTGATCGGTAAAACACACAAACAGACCTTCTCCTTTTCCACACCTTGAACCACCCTCATAACAAAATCGATTTTCTATCACACCATATTTCCTATTTTACGAAAATGGAATAATAATAATTACTACAAATTTTAAATAATATGTTTGAGTATGTATTTAAGTTTTATTATTTACCTAAGGTATCTTAGCTCCCAAACTCCAGCTAATTTTGGGGGTACGCCGGTCGTTAGTGAAAATCTTAAATCTTGTATGTGTAGTCGAGCTGGCCCAGCTGATATTTTCGATTTTGTAGGACATGACGCAATTTGGATCAAGAACTGTTGGTCTGTGGTCCGAAAAAACAATAAATCAAGTTAAAATATAAATTATTTTTAAGTAAATAATATCAAAATAATGTATAATTTTTACGTGGGATTTTTTGCTCAAGCTAAGATAATAATTATTATTTTTCAACTAAAAACAATAAACTCTTTATTATTTTAGTTTCAATGTTAAACCAAAAAAGTTTTTTTGGGTTGTTTTTTTCTCAACTAACTCTGTCTTCTTATTTTCCTTGTTATCCTAAATACTTTGTATAACTTTACAATGTTGCACTAATGGTCAAGTAAAAACATTCGAATACTTTATTCATCGATTTTTTTTGACGTCATACATTAATTTTAAATAATGTATTGTAGTCATGTCGGTAATTTGAACATCTTTTGGGACCCAATATCGGATGAATCAATAGATGATTTGAAATTTATTATTCTTAAAGATTTGAAAGTTATTTTGTGTATACAATTAATACATTTTTGTAGTAAAGCGTTCGTGTACATACCGTCTCCTAAATTTGCAGATATTTTCACTTGCCATTGAATAAGTCGCTCCCTAGTATCAAAAGCTAATACGACAGTCACGTCTTGACAGATGATAGCTATCGTGTTTGATTCTTTGTCTAAGGTAAACCCTATATGTCAAACAAATAGGTGCATTTTCATAAAATGTTTGATTTTGGTACTTGTTATTTGTAGTTTATAATAGATTTTGCACATTTATAACTTACCCGATTCTACTCCTAAAAATTGCTGCAATGATAGAGAAGCTTTTGTTTGTCCTTGTTTGTATCGATCTTTGCTGTCTCTGTACAATTGCAAGTGTAAACAATCTGAAAAATATATAAAATTATTTTTTGTTATTTAATTAGTATGATAAAAACTATCATACTAAATCAATACTAAAAAATGTAAAACACATTAACAAAATTGAAATCTAGTTTAAGGTTCATTTAGTGACAAGTTACTTTCTGATGTTTAACGAAGAACTTTAAAATTGTAGTTGCACAAAGTGTGTGTTAATGGACCAACAATGTCCGATAACGAATAAAATTGAAGTTAAAAAACTTCCAGGCAGTAACAATTAAGTTTTGATATCAGAAACTAGGAAAGTTGTTGGGTTCTCGAGCTCATAACCTGCTACGTTAGTACAAGGAAAATGGGAAATTTCTCGTTTGTCTAGTCTCCGACGAGACTTAAAGTTAAATAGTTTATTTTTTCTCGTACTCGTAGGGTCCGTGCTGCCAATGACGGATAAAACTTTCTTTTCACACCAACAATTCATTCTTTTACGCTATCATCATGGATACCAATCGATAAATTATTATTTTACATAAAAACGACAGTTTGTAAAAACCCTTGTGCACCAGTGCTCTTTTTTGCCGACCAACTTTTTATGCTTATATTTATTTTACACGAGAAAATATTACAAAGGACCTCAGGTGTTTTAAAGAAAATCACTTCCATTTTCTCAAGATAAAATATTTTAAATGAAACGTATTAGTTGGGATGTTTTTGGATTGAAAGGGAGTCACCCTAAATAAAAGCAGACGATACCTGTTCTTATTGATATATGAGATCCATAGAGTTAATTGTAAATATATCAGAAGATTTGTGGATATCAGAGTGTTCTTCGATTATTTTCCAAAAATAGGAATTTTAGAATGAAACAGAAATAGTTATTAGAGAGAGTAAAAAGTAGCTGGGTTCTATATAAAAATGGTAACACAAACGTTTTCATAGAAGTGAATTTTAAAATAAAAAATTATGAATTATAAACTACATATTTAATTTATTGTTCAAGTTATAAATTTGATGAAACATTTTATATAATTATAAATATATTTTAATTTATAGAATAATTTTAAAATTGAGAAGTATACGATAAGATAATAGAATGATTTAATTATTATTGGGAATTGAGGTACAAAAGTAAAATGATTGTTTGTAAAGTAAACGTAACAGAAATGATAATTATGAATTCTAGTAACTACTCATAAAATGATAAAAACAAAAAGACAATAATCATAATTATAAAACACCGTAGTCATTATTTCTAATACCTCAGTATTTTGAAGAGTACCAATTGAAATCGTGTCAAACAGCAATTAAACCAATTGCTAGTAGTGTATAGTAATCGTTACTTATGATATTGCCGAGCTTATACGACATTTTCTATGCTAGTTAATTTTTATTTTATGATTATTAATTTCCACACGCACCTGCAGTTAAATTTTTATCATTATCATGTCCAGTGTTAATGTATTTTTATTAGCTATATAAATGTGTTGTTTGTCGTTATGCTTTATGTGAACATTAATTATTATTTTTATAATTAATACGCTGAAACAATGATTTTAGTTAAGTATAATAAACTTCCTTCGTTAAAGCGATCAGCACTTCTAACGATTTTTTATTATTACAACTATAAGTCTAATCTCATTGTGGACAAAACTTAATGACGTCGTTATGTGGAGCGCTCTGAGTTTATGAAAGTAACGACGTTTGGTCATTTACACTCAGTCTTCTAACTATAAATAGTAGAAGAAGAACTATGATGTACAATTTTTTGTTTTAGGCTCTTTCCTTATGGTTCGTTTGTATAACAAAGGCTACAAACAGACAAATTGTTATCCGGTAGATTGACTTTGTCGTTAAATTGTATACAATTTACTGTTTAAGTATATCACTGTTATCTTAGTTTTAAAAGCAAATTAAAAAATTATTTTACAATTTAATTAAGTTTTATTATCCGGATGACAAATAGCTAGGGTTTAGGACTTAATGAGTATATAAAATTTATTTAGACTATTTTCGAGGCACCCAAATCGACGAAAATTTAAGGAAAAAAATTCTATATTAGTATATAATATCAATGATTTACTCTTAATAACTAAAATAAACCATATAAATGAATAAAGTCCCGAATATTACAAATAGCCAACCAATTATTTTGGGTTAAAAACAAATAATTCGGATTATTTGTTCTATCACCTGACTTCATCTAGTGATAGTGTTAAAAGGTAATATTAACATGTATTGATGTTTATTAAGCAATTTGTTGATTACTTCTTTTTCAAGGTTTATTACACTTCGTTTTTTCCCAACTAATATAATAAGAGCGAAATAAAAAAATTTCCTATTATAATTATTCATATTGTTTTTAACAATTGTTCTTCATTGATATTTATAAATTTCGTTCAACAATAATAACTCATTGTCTGAGCGCAAGACATTCAAATTGAAATTGAAGGATTATGCGAAGGTTTTTTTTGGAATTAATTGAAATTCTTAAAATATAGTTCTACGAGTTTTACGCACTGTTAGGTTTGTCTTCGTATTGCAATAACGATGTTGGAATTCAATTTGCGTAGTTGATAAAAAAAATAAAATTCATATACAGAATTATAGAAAACAATGAGACAATGCTCGCAAAAAATCAACGAAATCGATCGGTTAATGAAATTGTACGAGTCTTTGGTTTTGAAAATAAATTAAATTGTATGCTCATTGCTCACCCTTTTGACATTTCACGGGTAGCGTTCGTAATAATCGAGTACCTAAATTTAAATTACCTTGGTGGTCTTTTGTTGGTTGTGTCTCTTTGGTTATGTCCCTATTTCGTTAGGCCAATTAACAGTAATCGTCATCGTCAACTTACCCCGGAGCATACCGTGCTTTGTTCTCAGAACTTCCCGAAGCGAACAACAATTATACTCGGCTGCTCTTATAGAAAATATCGATTCATAAAGCCAAAGTTACTGACTTTGGCTCATCTACCTCTAATGCTTTTAAAACTGCATAAATTAAATCGGTACTCCAATATAGTCAAAAAAACCGGTATGCATTTTTACTAGTCGAATGTTAGGTAGATCAATACGTGAACTGAATAGTAAATATTAGAACTGTAGTCTTATACTTTTTCAATTGTATCCCGGACAGCTGTCTTAAGAATAAGTGTATTACGGTTACCTAAGTTGAAACTGTCATTGGTGACCAGAGGTTGAAAAATAATAATTTATTGGTCACACATATAATATACAGTGGTGTCTAAAACAGAAGGGGAAAAGTTTTGGACGCGTGTCCGAAAATGATTTGAAAAAAGAAACACCTTTTACTCGACGTTCAGACGGAAAAAATATAATTTGTTAAGTTCAGGTTTCACGCACGCGAGTTTTACCGAAGTGATAAATTGGTTTTGGTCGATAAATGCCGTTACTTAATATTGACAATAACTTCTAAACGCGTGACTTAAATTTTCCAACACGTGTGGGACACCGTCATCGTCGAGAAACGAGCAGATGACGTCCGGTGTCGATCCGGGAGACCGTCAAAACCGTAGTCGCATTTTTCATAAACTCTGCAAATAATATTACACGTTCTGACAATTTTTATTAATTACTACAGTTTACAGACCGTTCTTTGCGAGCGTTACCGTTTACCATTGCAAACACAGATGGACACGAAGTATAAGGTTACAAGTATGTCTTGAGAGGAAACTTAAAAGTGATATTGTATTGAAGTTATTGTTTTTTGTGACATTGGTAGTCGGGTCTTTGCAGTTGGCACTTAACCTATACTTTAGTTGTCTAGTTTCATGCGAATTAAATTTGGCGTTAAGTAAAATGCTACTTATATTGTTTCAAAACATGTGATTTTGGATTCAATATCTTACCCTTGTACGTACACGTATAATGATGAATGATTTTGAAACACATACGCCGTGAGTGTTTTTTATACGCCTTTATATTTTTTGGTTTCCGGATGATTCATACGCTATTAATATTATTCCTATTGCTTTTTAGACAACAACCCTTGTTCACAGGGTATAAACATAGACAAGCGAGCCCCAAAATGACGTTTATACAATGCAATATACAAAATCAGTAAAAATATTTAGTTTAGCCTGAATATTCAATATTTATAAGAACTTATATTGTAATAACTAATATTAGAATGATTAATTTTACATTATAAAGCAAAGTTCAACTACTTCGGATATTATAAAATTTGTAAAAATAGTAAATAATATTAAAACTACAAAGATCGAAGTAAAATTTGAATGGTATGAATTATTAGTTCATAAGTTATACATCAAATGGTTTACTCTTTTTTGATTATGTGAAAGCTATCAATTCATACTACGTTCTTTAGCAAACCATATTTGTGTAATGAATCAAAAGTGTTGATAATTGTATTTGGGTTTACTTAGGTATATACACTAGAAATAAAATCAATGATGGATTTATCCAGCGAAGTATCCCTAGAGAATATTTATTTGCTACTGTCGAGCCAACAGTTCGCCTACCGATAATATACATCCGGAGGGAGTGTTGAATGTTATTAGAACGGTGTTTCTTTTCTTATACACATTCTCTTATTATAACCTTAAAATGAAATATTTTCTTCATTGTTGAAAGCAAAAAAAAAACAGAGATTGACGGTTTAGACGAAAGAAATAAAAATTATAACCCTCTTACGATAAGGAGGTTAAAATTGAAAGTACAATATTCCTACAAAATATTTGATCCATCACTATTATTTCATATTTAACTAATTAAACTTGTTCACGATTTAATTTTCCAAGGAAAACTATAAGAAAAGTATTCTGTTATTAAATTTATTACTCCTTCATTAAGTTGTTTAAACCAACACAATAATTATTAATATACTATCTGTAATAATTAAAATAACATTAATTATCAAAGAATTAACTTGCCGTATTGATGTCTTGATAAAATCTGAACAAAAATTACAGAGTTTTCGTCAAACTAATTAAGTCTATTAATTTCACCTTTGCAATGAATACTTCCGAGTTTCTGATATCAGAAGA